AGTGAGCATCCTCTGTAATTCCTTCCCACTGAAGTTACCAGGGGTAGTAGTTCAATGTATGTGACTCCAGATATCTCTCTCCATGGATCATAGTTCCCCTTTCCCTCTCGTCTCTGCCTGAGTTGTGGTCCTGTCTGCCCTCTTTGATACCTGATCAGGGAAATGACAATTCAGTTGCCAGCCCACCTCCTCTCAGGTGGCCCCACCCTGTTACAGCAGGTTGCGTTCCCAGACTGCAGCCTGCCTTCCCTGTCCATCACACACCCTTTGGCTTTTGCTTTTCAAACCTTTGCTCCTCGCCTGTCCTAATCTTTCAATACACCCCTTTCTGGGTCTTTCTACTATATTTAAGCTTTCTGCTCACCCTTATGAACAAAATTCACTCCACTTAGAATGTCTTTTGTTGCATCCTGTAAATTATAGAAAAGTGATTAATTATGCAGCATTTCCACCAAAGGATTGTTTTGAGATTGGGCTGTATATATTATTGATGATGATATTTATGCATATAACCCACTTGCTTTCAGCAGCTCAGGGTAATTAAATGTGACAGATGCCTTTTAGTGAGTTTAGGCATTCGGGTATAGTTGGGTTCTTATTCCTGTTGGTTTGTGCAGTGTGAAACCGTCTTAAAGTGCATTCTTGATAACAACAGCCATTATTTTCTGAGCATGTATAGTGCGCTGAGTGTTTTTCATACATTTCCAGCAGCCCTTGGCAGGTACTATTACCATCTCCAAGAGAGAGAGGCTGGGAGAGCCTCAGATCCTTGTCCATAGTTACATAGGTAGTACGCAGTTAAATTGGGACTCCAGTCCAGATCCTTCTGACTCTGGAATGTAGGCGTAAACACCATGGTATTTAACCTTTTTTCCTTTTCTATTTTAAAGGAATATCAAAAGCTCTTTCCTGACATCCCCATAGGGTACTCTGGGCATGAGACAGGCATAGTGATCTCTGTGGCCGCAGTGGCTCTGGGGGCCAAGGTGTTGGAGCGCCACATAACTCTGGACAAGACCTGGAAGGGGAGTGACCACTCAGCCTCGCTGGAGCCTGGAGAGCTGGCTGAGCTGGTGCGGTCTGTGCGCCTTGTGGAACAGGCCATGGGCTCCCCCACCAAGCAGCTGCTGCCTTGTGAGACGGCCTGCAATGAGAAGGTGGGTTCTGCCTGATCCTGCTGGTTCTACTCTCTGGGGAAGGGCCAGAATGGGCTCACCTGAAGCAGAGTCAGTCCCAACCCTGCCAGACCCCAGTCCAAGGGGAGGGTGGAGGCATGTCACAGCAGTCTGCTAAGTTTTTGGGGGTTTGTATTAGCAGCAGGAGAAATGTTAGCAGTTTCTCTGAGCATCATGAACCTGTTATAGTTCCCTCTAAGTCTCTGCCCCTGTGGCCTTGGTGCTATAGATTCCAGGAGATGTAGGGTGGGTGGTGTCATACAGGGCCTACCGAAACACTAGCATAGGTCAACTCTGGGTCCCCTGGAGTAGATACAGCTATGCGAAAATTCAGACCGAGGGGTTCCCTGAGTCGGAGGTGGGGGTGGGGCAGGGCCTGTGATAGGTGGAGCCATCCTTCAGCCCAGAAGGTACTGGTGGAGTGGGGCTGTGTGTTGTCACCTGCTGTCAGTGGGGGTGTTGCTGATATCCTCAGGGGCAGTTTGAGCTGTGCCTCGTTGACCTTCAGACAGGGGGCATGGCTAGGCCAAGGAGCACTGCCTGGCATACTGACCATCTGGGCTTCTTGAAGTGGTGGCCTAGACCTGGATTGTCCTCTGAGTCATTGAGCCAGGCATCCTGGGGCTGCCAGGGTTGCAGATACCTACCACTAGTCTGCTGAGTGCCATCTGGGTCAAGGCAAAGATCAAATGCCAGGCATGCATAGGATTGCTGACATCTTTTATGTAGTGGGCTCTATGCATTACCCTCCAATGAAAGAAACAAATACAGGAAACTATAATAGCAACAAGAAACAGAAAAAGAAAAAAGAAACATCTGCCTTTTAGAAAAAAAGAGGAGTGAATTATACCAGAAAACAGAATGAGAGTTAGAGCAGGAAAGCACCTAATTTGGTTGTGAGCCTCCTTGCTCCCTGAGCAAACAGTGAATAACAAATGCAACAATCTGGTAATCATCTGTTGATAACCATTGTGACTTGGCTCTAAATTGTAAACAGAATGGATTTTTTGGCTCTTCTATGGAGAATACAGAGTGATATAGTAGATAACTTCACAGCCTTATGGAGAAGACAGAACTGCTGGCCATGAGCTTTAGGTATCCTCATTCCCCTCGCCTGTGCGCCCTGTCTGCGGTCACACTCACTCTCCAGCAAGCCCTATTTTACCAAGGAAGGTGATAGCAGGAAGGTTTGTGCTCCTCAAGGGCACTGCGCTAGCAGTTAGGTATCCCAGGTTCACATTCTAGCTCCTTGTAACCTTGACCAAATCACTGCTCCCCGCAGGCCTCTAACCATGTTTAAAATGAGTTATCTCATTGAATTGAGGTTGATGATGACAAAAGTAGTCACAATCTTCATTTATCAAGAGCATCTCCAGGGGCATTACATATATTATCACTGTCTTTAAGTCTTCCCATGAGATAAAGGCACTATTATTTCCCATTTTATGGAGAAGCTCAGCCACAGCTTGTGTCCAGAGGCTAGGCTTTGAACCTGGCTCTGTGGCCACCTAATCTGCCCCCTTTCCTTTACATTTTATTGTAAAGGCCCCTCATTTCACTCTCTGACTTCACCCAATACTGCCAAGTCCCTGACATGGGTGAGATCCTGTTCTAGGTACTGAGTCAGAGACAGCCCCCACTCTCCAGGCACCTTGTGAAGACTGGCCAGGAGCCTGGGGTAGGAAGCAGCATGTGCTAGGTGCTTCTGTGAGATTGACACTGAGTCTTAATTTTATTCACAGCTGGGCAAGTCTGTGGTGGCCAAAGTGAAAATTCCAGAAGGTACCATTCTAACGCTGGACATGCTCACTGTGAAGGTGGGTGAGCCCAAAGGTTACCCTCCTGAAGACATCTTTAGTCTGGTGGGCAAAAAGGCCCTGGTCACTGTCAAACAAGATGAAACCATCATGGAAGAATCAGTAGAAAATCATGGTAAAAAAATAAAATCTTAAAATAAAATGTCATTTTCTGAATTCTGAACTGCCTTGCTGGTACTGCCGGGTGTATCTGGGTGAGGTGGGGCAGGAGTGGTGGTGTCCAGAGACCTGGCCTTCATCCACTCCCTTTCCCTAGAGAGTAGGCAGTTTGGGGCCAGGCCCTGTATCAAGCCTGTTGGAGGGATACAAAGAATGACCACCAGTCTCCGCTCTGGTTGGCTGACCCAGAAGGAAAGCGGGGCCCAGAAGCTAATCATCACTTTCCATTTGCTGTGTGAGTCCTCTCCTTTAACCTTTGTTCTTAGTGACCGCAGGGCCAACCCATGTGACCCAAAATCCCACTTCCTTCGAGACCTCCAGCTGTCTGTTCTCTTCCATGGCCCTCATCCCAGCCTACCTTTGAGTTGCATATCCAGAGAACTGGACAACTGTTGGCACTGGTGAAAGGGTCTGGCAGACAGAGAAATGCGGAAAGCACACATCCTCTGTGAGCAGAGAGAGAGAAATGGCACTCACTCCTTTCAACAATACCGACGGCCTAGCAGGTGCCAGACCTGCTGGAGGTACAAACAGTGCACAACTCAAATTCCTTCCTCGTGGAACTTCCATTTAGGTGGGGACAGGAGCTTAGTAAACCATGAGCATTAGGAAATAAACCAGTCTGTAGAAGGTGGTGTGTGCAATGAGGCAGGGGAATCAAGCCACCTAAGAGAGATGGGAAGTGTGGAGCTTGGTCTATTTGCAGCTTGTGATGGCTTTTTAATACAGCGGTAATGCTGACGTCAGCTGTTGTATAATCCATAATGATATTACAAATCCAGTGTACGAAACTCTCACTATTATACTTCCTTGAACAGCAGCATGAACTTTTCACAGAGATTCCAAGTGATACTCCCCTTTGTTCTTTTGAGCCAGTGTGGAGATTAATCATTCTTTTCAAATGTATTTTCAAATCCTTAGTCTCTGTTCATACTTATTTGACCTTGTTTACTATAAACCCTCATTTCAAAAACGTATATTTGAGTCTCTCTTCAAATACATGAATTAGCCTTTTGAACGTTCTTTATTTGTGAGTACAGAGTCTCACTCTCCTGCAGATTCCAAAACAGTTTCTCATGTCTGTACGTATAGGTGGGGCAGGGTAGACTGTGCTTATGTGTAAAAGAGAACCTGTAAAATTGACGTGTCAGGAACTGCAGTGTGATCCTTTCACTTACTCGCTGTGTTTACTCCCTTTTCTCCCTGTATAACAGATCTTGAGTAAACAATCAAAATGTCTTGATTCCATGGCCTTTTTTCCTGCAGCAGCAGAGGTGACATTTTAAGCAAATACTGAAGACTTCTGACAGGAGAGACTTGGTGGGGAGGGGCGCGTTTCAGGGCCGAAACAGGATGTGGATCTAGAGGGATGATCGAGCTGAGAACATGCTGCGGGTCCTTTCCCACAGGATGCCAGGCACTTGCCCCAGGCCTGGCAGCCTGCAGTGGTAGAAGGCAGAAGGCCCTGCTGCCCTATAAACCTCAGCTGGATTTCCCCTCAGGGGGCAGCAATCACTGAGGCTCAGCTTTGGAAGAGCCTGCAGTCCCAGGACTTCACCTTTTATCTAGAGGACTGTTGTGAGTTGGGGACACTTGCTGAGGGTGACTGTCAGAGCACACTTCCCACTAGGGCACATAGCGGAAATGACACCATGTGTACGATGGATGTGGGTCAAGCTCAGGCCGTGCCAGGCTGCTGTGAGGGCTGAGCATGGACATCTGGGCACATAACTAGCCCATTGGGGTTGGGAAGCTCAGGTCTAGAAGACATCGCTGTGCCTCTGCCAGATGGGAAGTGCAGTGTGGGACCCACAGTGAGGCAGCAGAGTGTCCTTGTCAGAGTTCACAGCCTACTGGGTATAGGCACCTTCACCAACAGTACCCCATATGTGTGAATCGCTGAAATGTTTACCCAGAGGTGTGGGAGGCAGGCACAGGAGTCATGGGAGCCAAGAAGGAAGAGCTTAAGAGTCTGTTGAATTAGAACTTAATTCTGTAGGCACTGGGGAGCCATGGAAGGCTTCTGAGCAGGACCTAGGGGACTCAAACCTGTGGCTGTGCTCATGCTCACCCCTCCTCATCAGCAGCCCCATCCCAGCCTGGGTGCTGTGTACCTGAGTGAGGCACCATGAACTTCCAAGAACATGATTGGCAAGGACAGTACTCATGCTTTATTAGAAAAACACGTATAAGGAGGCACAGTAGACTTTTAAAGGCAGGTTCACATTCTTTGGCTAGTTCAAGCCTCATAGTGCTGGAATTATGCCCCCACCCCCCAACAGATGATGCTCCAAGAAGTGAAAGATGAGTAGCCTGAACTCATGATTGTGGGCCAAAATTGCAGTTTTCTGGCTAGTTCAGGCCTTGGCACCATGTAGGCATTTGATAAAAGTTAATTTTTTATCCTTTATAGATTAGCTCAGTCTCTGGCACGTGGAAAACAAATTCCTATCTGGTGGAAGACCTCATCTCAGAGCCCTAGGAAGGTAGGGCAGGTACTACAAAGGTAGACCGAAGCCCCAGAGTGACCAGGCAAAAACAAAGCATGACAGGCCCATCTAGAGGGGACAAGGGTCAGAGTGAGCAGGCGCTGGCCAGTCAGGCTGCATTCACCTCAACAGTACTGCCTGGCGGACATGTATGCGGACCCCAGCTCCATTGTTAGCTGTGTGACCTTGGGCAAGTTACTCATTCTGAGTCTCAATTTTGCCACATGTAGAGCTGGAATAACCTTCTGCCTCTCAGGGATGATGTGAGGATCCAATGAGTTAACAGTTGTAAAGCATTAGGATAGCATCTGCCCAAAGAGCAAGTGCTCGTACTACTTGGGCTCTGCAGCTGTGGGAGCAACTGTTGGTTTTCAGGAATAGAGAGAGACGTGGGGTCAAGCGTACCCATCTTCCTCCGTCAGGACTGTCGTCTGCAGTCAGAATTCAGCTCTGGGGCATCCCCAGGAGAATTAATTTTCCTTTTCTCAGGATTCTTGGAGCACAGTGCTTAGGCATTTATTCAGCTAGAGTTTTAAATTACTTGGTTAGAACCAAAGGCACTTTTGAGTATTCTACTTGTGTTACATTGCTCCATATGAAAGGACCATTTTTAGGTCAAAAACTATTGGAAATTGGCAGTTTTATATATAGTTCAAGTTAATGAATGCACCTTGAGTCAGTTTAAGCCACGAGGGGGATTTTTCTCACCCTACCGTTGCACCTATGAGGATGCTTTAACACAGCATGACTTCAAAACTGCCTAGAGAATTTGACAAGTTGGGATTTTGAATCTTCAGAACTGAGGCAAAGATCCTGGAAAGAAGCCTCTCCCTCCTTGCTAGGGGAGCAGGCTGCCAGTAAGCTCTTACTGGTTTGGACTTCTCCATTTCTGTCACTTCTTTTTAGAAAACAAGGCTCTCTGGGTTTTTTTTGGCAACATCTAGATCTAAGGGGTTTGAGGAGCAAGAGGATGTCGGGGCTGCCCAAACCCCACCATGGCTCCTCTCCTTTTGGTTCCAAGACAGTTGGAAAAACTGTCATTGCTTAGCAACGGCCACCTGCTGATTTCTTCCCAACATCCCCTGAGAAATAAACAGGACAATCTTGCAGCTTGAAAGCTGGACCTGAAGGGCTAATCAGACTTCCCAGGAGGCTGGGCATGGTGCAGCCCCTCAGTCACCTGGTGACTTAAAGCAACTCTTTTTCAGGGCCTTTGTCTTCCAGACGTATAATAAGGTCAGGCTGGGTGATCTGAGGCCCTTTTGTGAGGCTCAGCTGTCTGTGAGTCAAGAAGAGACCACTGCTGGTCACTCACTCACTGCCTGGGATAAAAGGGATATTAGGAAATTTTCAGGGTGGGGGAGGGTACTATAGTATCTAATAGATGCCTTAGAAAGCTTCTAGTCTAGTTGGAAAGACAGGTCTCAGATTTGTGACTCTGGCAGAGAGGAAGATTCTTGAGGCTTGGGAAGACTGAGACAGGCAAAGAGAAGAAAGGACTTTCCTGTAATAAATGTTTGGGGGGAGGGGCATGGCCAGGGGATAGTGTAAAGGAAAGGTGTAGAGATGGACCTATGTGAGACACAATTCTGGTCAGACTGTCTCTGAAAAGAGCAATAGGAGCAAAATGAGGATAGAAGTTGGGGGCAGACTAGAAAAGACTTGAATGCTAGGGTAAGGTGCTTGTTTTTTTGACCCTGTTATCCTTGGGAACCTCTTGAGAGTTGAGAGATTAAGTTTTAGGCAGATCCCTCTGGTTCTGGGGTAAAGGATGAGAAGGCGTGAGGGGTCAGGTCAAGAGGCTTAAGAGGCTCTGAAGGTGACAAGGACAAGCTGAAGTGGAAGGCAGGAGGCTCCTCCAAGAGCTAGGAAGAAGGGTCTGGACCAGTTGCTTCTCTTCAGCCACATATTTACCATGTGCCTATCATGTGCCAGGAGCTACTGTGCTGTGTAAGGGAGAAGGTCCAAGGCTGAAGATGTGAATTCTAATATGGTCAGGTGCGCTTGGACTGTGGGTTTTCAGGAATCCTACCAAAGGCAGTGCAGTTAAGTGCTCTGGTGGTGGTCCCGGGGGGGAGGTCCAATGAACAAGCAGCAGCAAAGAAGCTGTTTGAAACCAGCCTAGGAGAGGTACCATCCAAAACACACAGCATGGCGGTGCCGCAGAGGGGCTGATGGGAGAAGGGCACACAGAGTAGACAGTGGGCCAGCCATGGCTGGGTCTGGTGAGATCAGAGCAGCGAAGGGCCCAGGACCTCACTCCAGTCCCTCCGGCCCCTAGGGCAGCCGGGTGATGCTGATGGCCCCTTCCCACAGCCGCAGGGCTGGATACAGTGGTTCCTGGAAGGAGGCACGGAAGGTGTGCATGTGGCTCATGCCGCCCATCACGTCGTAGAAGGAGAGGATGCCAGCCTCGTAATCCAGAAAGACACCAAGCCGATCCAGGTCCTGGCGGGGCCGCAACCGGTTGCGCTGGCAGTCGTGAAAGGCCCAGTACTCGAGGTCATAGCGCTTGAGGCACCAGGACTGGCGGTTGCAGCCCAGGCGGGCAGCGGCCGTGTCCCCGCGGCGTCGCAAGGAGCCGTAAGCCGCACCCACCCACCAGCCGATGCCCGCCTCCTGCAGGTCCACTTCCCAGTAGTGGCGGCCGGCGGCGAAGCTGTCCCTACCCAGCACCTGCCACAGCTTGTCGAAGCGCAGTGTGGCCGTGGGCCCCAGGCAGCCCAGCAGGCCGGAGTACACGGACAGGCGGTCGGGCGAGAGGCGCAGGCGCGCGTGCATCGTGTCCGGGTCCAGCGTGGGCGTGCGCGCGTCTGTGGAGGGCGGGACACGAGGCCTGGTGGGTGGGGGTGCGCGGCTCCCGCCCCCGAAATACCCACCCGCCTCGCGCCAACAGCCAGGCCCTATACATGTTCATAGTAGAAAGAGGGAAAACACCCAAGTCGACCCTTTAACCCCGATGGCCTCTGGGGAGGTGATCTGGGGTGCAGGGGAAGGAAAAGAAATTTTACTGTACACCCTTTGCACAGTGTGAATTTTCTATCATAGAATTTGTTGCCAATTTGTAAAGTTTTTATTAAAAATGGATCGTATCACAGTAAAACCTGGGTGTATATCTTTCCATATGTTGCCAGATGCTTTATAGGTTTTTTTTCCTACATTGGTATCATACAGTACATGCATTTGGGTAATGGGCTTTTAAAATTAAATTTTTTAAAAAATTTTATTTATGTATGCATACAATTTATAGAATTGGGGTGTAGGCCAGAGGTTGGGGGAGGCGGGGGTGAGAGGATACACCAGAGGCAGAGTGGAGAGCAGAACAGGCAGATCGACTGAAATACACTGCTGAGGGGAGCAGCAGGCAAGACAGGAGAGGCCGGCTCTGCCATGTGGGTATCTCCCTGGCCAGGGATGGAACTCATGCTGCAGTGGCTGCCAATGGCTTCATAGTGCTGAGACTTAACCCCTTGCACCACCAGGGAGGCCCAGCTTTTTAAATTTTATCTATGTATTTATGAACATTTTACCACCCCCAAATAACTTTTATAAGATGGCAGTCCTAAGATTTTGATGTATGGATGTGTTATAATTTAATCGATGCTCCATCCCCCTTTTTCCTAATATTTATGATTACATCTGTATGTACCTGATTATTTTTCAGGAGATACTTCTAAAAGAGGATTTGCTGGGTCAATGGGGGTGATTGTTTTTAAGCCTTTGGCAAATGTCACCAAATTGTCCTTTGGTAATTATTGCTAAGTTGTCCTCCAGAGAGGTGGTAGTGATTTGAACTCCCAATAAGCATTCTCTTTTACCATACAGGTGTAGACATGAAGTTTTAAAAAAGAGCTAGATCTTAGGGTTTGTATGTGAATGTTCAGCTTTAGTAAATACTTCCAAAGAGTTTGCTAAAATTTTCAGTAGAAGTTTTGTACTTCTTTTGTAAGATTTATTCCTAGTTTTTAACAATGTTATGGAAAATATTTGTAAATTTTTATTTTCTAATTGTTCTTTGCTAATATAACAGAAAATAGTGTAAGTGCTCTGCCTACGCAGAGGGGAGGGAAGGAGAGGGGAAGGGCCAATGACCACAGCAGCAAAGGAACTGCCTTGATTGCTCTGAGGGCCTGTTTGAAAGTCCCCTAGGAGAAGAACTGTGTGTACTGACTTTATAAACCAGCACCTGTTCAAATTTCACTTAGTAACTGGGTTACTTTGGATTTCCTGAAAATAATCATGTCATCCATGACTAATGATCTCTCCCCCCATTTTGCAATCCTTATAACTTTCATTTCTTTTTCTTGCTTCAAGGCACTGTCCAGGACATTTAGAACATTGTTAATGTTCTAAACAGAACATATTTATGGTTATAGTGGGCACCCTTGTGGCTGACTCCTCAGTAAATACCCACCATCCACATACCTGTGCATCAAAAGACATGCACAAGAGTGTTCCTAACAACGTTACTCACAATAGTCAAAACCTGAAATCATCCAAAATGCCCTGCAGATAAAATGTGTTATACATATTCATGCCATGGAATATTTTACAGCATTGAGAATGAAGAAACTCCTGCTCCACAACAATAAGGATAAATCTCACAAATATTGAGTGATAGAAGCAAGACACAAAAGAGGACAGCCTGAATGATCAAGTTACATAAAAGTCACAAAACAAGTAAAACTAATCTGTACTTTTAGAAGTCAGGAGAGTGGTTACCCTTGGAGGCTGGTGGATAGGACACGGCATGAGGAGAACTTCCAGGGAGCTGGAAATTTCCATTTCTTGGTCTGAAGAATGTGTTTACTTTTAAATCATTAGCCTATACCCCCTTTGATTTGTGCTCTCCTCTTTATGTACTTTCTATTTCAATTAAAGTCTTTTTTTTTTTTTTTCAAAAATGCATGACCGGTAATACTACTTTGAGAAATTACTCCTAAAATACAATACACCAGTGTGGTAGGTGTACTCATTCATTCACTAATTCAATAAATATGTACAGGAATGGATGTTTATCACATCACTGTTTATAGAAATGAAAATATAAAACAGCCTAAATGTCCAACATTATGAGAGTAGTTAAATATGGTAATTTTATTCAATGTAATATTATGCATCCTTTAAAAATAACCACAGTATTTAAATTTATTGAAATATAATATTGTTCAACTAAGTTATTAAAAATTTATAAAAGGATAGCTATAGTATGATCCCATTTTAAAAATCTGCACATATATGTAGTTTAAAATGTCTAAAAATAGAAGCCCAAATATTAGAAGCATTTATCTTTTTTCTTTTTGCTCTATTCTAATTTCTAACTTTCTATAAAAAGCATGCTATATAATTTTTTAAGGGAGAAAAGATAATCACGATATATCAGTAAGTGAAATGCATTACCAAACAGTATGTATAGTATGACACCATGGTTGCAAAACAGAAATACTAAATATAACATTTATGTATAGATATAGTCATGTAGTTATACCAAAGAAAACTAAAAGGGCAAGTAATAACAGTCATTATGGGAGAGTAATGTATAAGTGATTTTCTTTTTCAAATCTTTGTTTCCATTTGTCTTTTAATGTTTCTACAATGAACATGTATTGTTATTGTATTTAAGAAAAACCAACAAAGGTTTTAAAAATCCAAGTTAGGTCTCTTAGGAAAAGAAGGTGGGGCCCATTTCTACAAGCCCACACCCACAGCCCACCTTCTTCACCCTCTCCCCACTTACACTTTAAGAAGAGCTGGCGCTCTGGAGGAGGGCTTGTTTTCAACAAGGAACCTGGCTTGACGCTGGAGGAGCCCAGGAGCCGGCAGTTCAGGTCTGCAACAAATGTGAGAAATGAGTGCTTTGTGCTTATGCAAACAGCACAAATGATAAAACTACTGTAACTATTACAAATGGGAGATTCCCAAAGTCTCGACCCAAGAATCCCTTGCACATTAAGTAGGAAATGCAAATTCACTCTGAGCAAAGCTCAGCTCTAAGAAGAAACGCACTTTTCAGGACAGGAGGCACATCCAGCATGGCAGGGCAAGGGCAGGGAGCCCTGGAGCAGGGGCAGCAGCTCCCTGAGGAGCCTGAGAATCAATTCTGTACTCAACTGTAAAGGATGGTGGCAACCTCAAGGCAGTAATGAAATTATGGCATAAAGATGGAAAAGAATTCAAGCTGATCCTCAGAAAAATCTCGTTCAAGTCTCATTCTCTTGAGAGGCGGTTCAAGGGGAACCCACGCCATGGTCCCTGGTTTTCACAGCTCAGTCAGGTAATGAGGAGAGACCTAGGTTCCCCTGAACCACCACCCAAGCCAGAGAGTGCTCCCAGTTACAGAGAAGTAAAAGGGACTCGGGCTTGAAGGAGTCAGAAGAAGCTTCTTGGAGGAAGAAGCCCCTCAGCTGGCCCTTAGAGGATGATGAAGACTTAGGTACCTGGGAAAAATGAAAGGATGAAATTTTTCCTGACAAGAAGCTACAGTGGGAGTAAAGACAAAGACAGATATAGAGTGGCCAGTGGGGGAGCCATGGAGGGTGTCTGAGTGAGGGTATACATGAACAGAATTTCCAGAGCTCTCTTTGGTGGGGAATGATGGGGCAGGGTGAGTGTGAAGGCAGAGGCCCTGCTGGGAGGCTCAGTTCTGAATGGGAGCAGTGGGCATGGAAAAAAGGGGCCGGCTGAGGAAATGCCGTTTGAACTTTGCTTCTGCCAACTACCAACTGGTTGATCTAGGGCAAGTCGGTGAAGCTCTCTGAGCCTCAGTTTACTCATCTATAAAATGGAGGGGGATGAAGAGGCCGACCATACAGGGTAGTGGTGAGGAGTTGCTGGATGAATCTATAATAAACAAGGCCTGACACAGAGCAAGTGTCAACTGTTATCAAGGACGCAAGAGTCACCGCCAGTCCTTTGGGAATGGACCACTGAGAATGTAAATATGAACTGCCTTTTGGGTCCATCTTGGAAGAGAGATGGGGGACACATGAATGCCCACCCACTGGATACTGATAAGCCCAAAGCTTCCTGGAGCAATCATTGGCTAAGGTTCTTGTTTGTTAGTTTGTTTTCATATTTGACTAGTCTTTTTTTTTTAATTGAATTATATAGGCAGCTATGATCTGATGTGATTTTTTTTTAAATAATTAAAACTCAAGACTTTTTCAGTTGGACTGTGTAGCCAAACTTCCAGTAAAAGTTATGAACAAAGAAAACACTGTTCACAGATTTTGAAAATATCTGCTTTAACAAACCAGCTCAGGTAACTCCACTACTCAGCCCCGCTGCACACTTCAGTGTCCCAAACATACTTTAGACTTTGCTTGTCTCAGAGTGAAATGTCTTTCCCTGTTCTCTCCCATTTTCCCAAGCATAGTGATTAAGGTCCAGCTAGAGTGCCAGCTCTTCCAGGAAGGCTTCCTGGTTTTCCATCAAAATCACTCTCTGTTTCTCCTCCCATGGCCCTGGCCATTGTGGTTACACACTCACCCTCTGCCTGCTCTGCAGATGGCTGGGGCCCACACTCCCCTCTTTCTGCATCCCAGAGGGTGCCCAGTGCATACTGATATCATTTCTGCTTCATTTTCTCTCTCCCTCTCCTTTTTTCCTGATCCGAGGAGATGGCAATGCTCTGCCAGGCCCCATGTGCCTAGGTAACTTCCAACTGCTTTCATCTCATCTCCCCTCTCCCTGTGCTCCTGTGACTCTGTCCTCCTCTCTGTGCCTAAACCTCACCAAGCTCTTCTACAAGTAGGGCCCTTGGCACTTGCTGTTTCCTCCACCAGGATCCCTTCCCCTGGGCCTTTGCCTCCTCAGCTGCCTGGGCTGGAATTCACCACTTTCCCAGGGATGGCTTCCTTGCCCACCTGGTGGAAAGAAACCCCCCCCCCCGCCCCCCATATGAACACCATTCCCCTCATCACAGAACTCGAGAATCATAGATCCAGCTGCTAATTTGACATCACCACATAGGAGGTCAAACTTCTCAAACCTAACAGATCCAAATACTTCATTCTTCCCAATTTTTTTTTTTTAAAGACACTTCTTGTCACCATTAAAAATCTGAATTTTAAACAGATTCTTGGACTGGTGGCTCATGTCCATTAGTACCCATCTCACATCCAGGGGCTCTTCTAGAACTAACCCCCTAGTCCAGGATGCTCCAAGTCTTCCCAAGTCAAAATTGGACTTCATGTAGCAGGTAGCCTTCCGTGTGTCTATTTTTAATGTGCTGCCTGGAATAAGCTGATTGATCTTTTGAGTCCTTTTGAGTCATTTTTCTGCCCCGCTCAGGTCAGGATTTCTGTGATATCTAGCAGATTTATTGGTACCAAGTATAAGAAGTCTTCCAAATCTACTGTTACCTTTTAAAGCAAAACCAGTATAGAGCTGGTGAAGCAAATCGCCACTGGCAGTCATGGGGCATGTGTTGCCCAGGGTAAAATCTACACCCTGGAGGTTGGGCGCTTTTGCCAAGAATATCCTCAATAATTGGCTTGAATTTTCTAAATGCAGCTACATTTTCTGCAGGTCAGGGAGCTCACTTCAAAAGCCCTCCCAGGCCCCCAAGTGCCATCAGATGAAGTTTTCTGTTTCCTCAAGCAGTGTTTTTCCAATATCCCTCACCATGCTCTCACATCACACTGAACTCTTAGAAAACGCATCGACCACTTTCCTCTTGACTCCTTTTTTGCTGCCTTTCCTCAGGTATTTACTCTTACAAACCACTTTGATACTACTCAGAGTCAGAAGGGCCATTCCTTCCAATTCCAAATGCACTTTCCATCTCAGAAAAATAAGAGCTTCCTTCTCCTAGTTGCTAAAAGCTTTGGCATTTCCTTGCTATCTCTCTTCCTTCTGCCACCTGAATCCATTCCTATGAACCCCTTTTTGCTGGTCCTTCAAGAAGCCAAACTGACTCCTAACTTATACCTCAGGACCTTTGCACTTGTTTTTTTCCACCTTAGCAGATATTTCCCTAGATGTAACAGCAGCAGCAGTAATACTAGCTGGTGCTTACATCGTGCTTACCATGCCTGAGGGCCACTCTAAGCACTTCACATGCAAGGACTCACCGAATTCTTCCAACAGTGCTATAACAGGGACCTATGTGGTCATCTCCATTTTATGGATGTGGGAATAGAGGCACAGTACAGTCAGGTGCCCTGCCCAGGATGGTTGGGTTAGGTAATGGTGGACCTGGGGCAGGAACCTGGCTCGAGTCCATGTGTGCGCCCACTACCATCTCAGGTCCTTCCGACTCGCAGAGCTTAAAGAAGGCTTCCTTCAGGTCAGCTCACACAGCCCCCTTCTCAGAAAGCCCTTCCTCACTTCCTCATGTGAAATAGCTCCTCCTCCTGGCCAGCCTCTATTTTCCCTATGTTGCTTTATTTTTCTCCAGGACACTTTTTTTTTTTTTTTTTGGCGGATTTACTGAAATATACTTCCATGACCTTAAAGAAGCAGAGAGGAGTCCCAGGGAAAGGAGTGAGCCTTCAAGGTGGGGTGACCAGGGCTTCCTAGGTGAGAACAGCTGTGCTACACTCACAAAGGCAGGACTTGGCCAGGCAGAGGAAGAGGAGGGGAGAGTTGCCCATTCCCGCTGGGAGCCCAGAGCAGGCAAAGATGAGGCACAGAATCTGGGAATTACCCAGGGATAGAAATAGAGCTGTGTGGCTGTGAGTGGCAGGTCATGGTCTCAGGAGGGGTGAAGGCAGAAGGTTGGGGCCCAAGCCAGGCGCCCTGGACAGCCCACACAAGGGCCTCTGGGTGGGAGAGACATGGTTAGGGAGGCGATCCTTGCACTTGTCTCTGGGCTAAAGTACAGTAGGGGAGTTAAAGACACGAAGACAATCCATACGGCGACTTACTTTCCTTAAGGCGAACTTCCAGGGGCGTCTGTAACACGCTTTGCATGGTTTCCGCTAGGCCCTTAAAGAAGCTCTTGATAGGCTCAAAGGAGACAGGCTTGGGGTAGCACAGCTCGCCCAGGCGCATCTGCTGCTGCAGCTCCCGCTCAGTGGCTGTGTACTTCTGCGAGGGCACATGGGGGGGGGGGGGCAGGGCAGATTTGGGAGCTGCAAGCTGTGTCCCAGCCCCCACCACTGCACACAAGGACAAACCCAGGATAGGCAGCACTGGGCCTGCCCTCCTGCCCCCTAATAATCCTGTTGCATCTTTCAAACCTGCTTTCTTCTCTCCATCCCTGCTGCCCCTTCACTGGTTCTGGCCACCATGCCCTCTCCCTGGACACTGTGGTCTTCTCCCACTTCCCTTCCAGCCCCCAGTCCATCCTCCACCCTGTCACCAAAGTGATCTTTTTAAAGCTTTAATCTGGCCATGCCATTACCTTGGCTCCTATCTCTTTACAGGACAAAGTTTAAACTCCATGGCCAGGCATATAAGATCTTTGCCAACTAATCTTGACTTCCTGATCCAGTCACTTCTCTCAACATCCCCTCCCTTGTACCCCTATCACACTTCCAGCCAGCTTAAACCCTGATGGTTTTCCAACCTGCCAAACTCTCATATGCATGTGGTCCTTTCAGTCTGGGATATCACCAGCCATCCTCCCATAACCAGTTCTACTGTCACTTCCTCCTAGGAGTCTTCCCTGACTACCTTTTCCTAGCTCACCCGAGCTGTGCTGTGAATAATTGTTTCTAAGCAAGTCTCCCTACTATGAGCTCCTAATGTTCAGTAGGGACTGGTGCAGAACTGGTTGCTCAGTATGTGTCTAGTGCATAAATAAATGAGCAAACAGAAGGAAAGAAAGAAGGATGAAGAAAACAAGCAGAATAAAGAGAATAAAGGAATTAGATGTCAAAGCTCTGAAACTATACTTATGCTGGAAGAACAATATTCTTCTCCATTGAAATATCCCTCTGTATTAGAAATCCATTAAAAAAACACTATTATTATGAGCAAATAAACAAATGTACTCCTCTGGGCATCTCGCCACTTCTAAAGTACAATACTCATCATGCCTGGGAGAGCACTTCACCTAGAATTTGGCTGAAATAGCTAACAATGAGACAAGGCACAAGAGTGGAAATACCTGCCAGACATGGGCTTGACTGGTTTTGTACTGGCTGATGTATTTGTCTTACTTTCAGGCAAAGATCATGCAAATTTGTGGTAGACTCAGACACAGCCACCCTTATTTAGTGGTACTCTGCCTTGTTCCACAAGCCTTTAAAGCATCTTACAAAGGTTATCCAAAACTGCAAAAGTTCTCTTTACTGTGAGAAAATGATCAAAGAGAAAAAGCAGAGTCAGAATGTGAGCTGGAAGTCAGAACGGGATGTGGCACAAAATGTATGCTACGAAGTGAGTCAGTTATTTGAAAACTGTTTGGCCCGGAGCTCCCAGAGGCCATAGCAAAAAAGGAAACAGGAAGAGTCACACAAGAGGAAAAGTTAATCAAGTGCACAGCTGTCTGCCCAGGTGTACTGACACAAGACAGTTTCTCCATGGTTCCTTGTAGACAGGAACAACATGCTTTCACTAAGTGACTATCACAGGGGCTATTTCTCAGACTCTCCTTCAGCTTAAGGCAATAGCCGCTAACAGACCTCAGTGACCAAGGAATACCGTCTTTCTCCCCCTGAGCTAACTGTGACTCAGCTCCTGGAGTTTGCTCACTAGCTCAAAGGCACCTGCCCTTCCAGGAAGGGTATCTCAAGAGTGTACAGGCAGAGGGATGGCAATGATGCCTTGTGACTTTAGAGTCAGACAGACCTGGGTTCTGATTTCAGCTCTCCCACCTACCAGGCAGTGTGACTTTAGATAAGTCATTTCAACCTCCCTGAATGCCAATTTCTCACTCATAATGGAGTGCCAAAACCCAGAGTTCTAGTAAATATTAGTGCTATAAGATACATGAAGTGCTGGGGATACAGACGCTCTCAAGGGTCTCCCTGGTGGCACAAGGGGTTAAGACGCAACCTATGAAGCTGTCCGCAGCCTCTGCAGCACAAGTTCGATCCCCGGCCAACCAGGGAGCAACCCTCATGGCTCAGCAGACCTCTCCTGTCTCACCTGCTGCTCCCCTCAGCTGTGTATTTCAGTCAGTCTGCCTGTTCTGTTTCCCTCACTGTCTCTGGTGAATCCTCTCACCCCCTGCGTCTCTGGCCTGTACCCCAGCTCTTGTATGCATAAATAAATCTTTAAAAAAATGGTAACTGTTATTTAATTTCTCCAAGATGTATATTATTTTCTTAACAATGTATATTTTATGGCCATTTGTGTGGGAGAAAGGCAGTCTACCAGCTAACAAGGTAATTCTCTGTGAATTTACTCAGTGTGAAAATCGTGTTCAATGCCACAGTAACTACAATGAAGTGGGGATGGCAGGTGTCACCTGTGAGGGCAGAAACCCAGGATTACCTGCAGCAGCTGTACTGGATCTGGCTCCTGGCTGATACACCAGACCCTGTTGGAGAGGTCATTAATGATGTCAATTTGCTTCTCACAAGAGTAGATTCGGTCCCTATACTCCTGGACGGCAAGCTCAGTGTTTTTATCAATGAATTTCTTGGCCAGCACTTCTTCCTCATCAAGTAGTAGTCTGAGTTCGGTAAATTTCGAGGTCAGCCAGGCTTTACTTGACTCTGCATGAGCCTAAAAAGAAAACCAGTTGCAGATGATATGATTACCAGCCAGAAAATCCAGAATAATCAACATCAAAAAATTATTATAATATCTAAAAAGGAAGTTTCAGCAAGGTGATCAGTCAGGTAAAAGATCAATTTAAAAACTCAAGCTTTTTCTATGTACCAGCTATAACCAATTGTAAAATATGTGGACAAATAGAGACCCTTTTTTAAGTAGTGGGGAAAAATAACAAAATGTCAAAAAATAAACCTAGTGAAAACTGTAAAAACCTAGATAAATAACAGTATAAATTACATTGAAAGACATAAAAATAATCTGAATGCATGGAAGAAATAACTCTCTCTGGTTGGGAAGTTGCATTACTATAAAGATGTTATTTGTCTCCAAACTGGTCTATAAATTCAATGCAATCTCAATCAAAGGGAAGTTTATTTAAATAAATATATATTTAATATACAGATCAAACAAATATTAAATTATCATGGGGAAACTAAGTACAATAAAAGCTAAAAATTGCTTTAAAAAGATCAATGAAAGAGCCTCCCCTGGTGGCGCAGCAGTTGAGCGCTGGGCTGTGAAGCTGCCCGCAGCCTCTGCAGCGCTGGTTTGATCCCCAGCCGCTGGCAAGGGTCCTACATGGCGCGACAGACCTCTCCTGCCATGCCCGCTGCTTTCCTCAGCAGTGTATTTCGTCAGTCTGTCTGTTCTGCTCCCTGCTCTTGCTCTGGTGAATTCTCTCACCCTCCCGCGCTTCTGACTGTACCTGGTGCTTGTATAAATAAATAATAAATCTTCCCAAAAAAAATAAATTGACGTTTTAAAAAAAAAGATCAATGAAAGACAGACAAATGAATATACTGATATAAGCTATCAAAACTAACTCTAAATCTACAGGATTTAAAACTATGTGGCTTAGGCAGAGACAAAAAGACCAAAAATGCAGAGTTCCAAACAGAAAAAGAACCAAGAAAAATATATATCATATACAAATGCACACACCGACACACAAATATAGTGGTTGCCATTACAAATTATTGGAAGGAGAGAGCAAATTAATCAATAAGTGATATTGGTGCAATATGCAATTAGCCACAATTGGAAAAATTTGTTAGATCCTTATCTTATATATATAAAAAATAAATTTAGACACAACCCTCTTGTGAAGTAATCTTACCAAAAATGTGAATCTGATTAAGCCTTTTGATCTAATTTAAAGATCCAGCTTAGAGAATACACAATATTAAGGACAGATGACCATATGTTAACCATCAATATAGCAACCAATTGGGCCTCCCCTGGTGGTGCAGCGGTTGAGCGCTGGGTTGCGAGGCCAGTTCGATCCCCGGCTACCGGCGAGGGTCCCACACACACACACACACAAAAAAAATATATATATATGTATCAACCAATTGAATTTTGAGGCCTTTCCTTCCTAGTCGAAACAAATTACATATGACATTTGTAAGATCATTGCAAATGTTATCACTGATTAGAGATTTGATGATAAAAGTAAAATATTAATTTGAATAGGTGATGATGACACTATGGTCATGTTTTTTTTAAAAAATGTCCTATCTTTTAGAGATAATATGCTGAAAGTTTTACAGATGAAATGTTATATCTGGGATTTGCTTCAAAATCCATAAGTTTAAGGTTTTCCAGAGTAAAATGTAAACCACAAATACCACCTAGAATAAAGCACTAAACATTAAAATAATAATCAATTAGAATGAAATACAGAATCATTATATTTATTAAAATTGGGAAGGGGGTGCCTCCCTGGTGGTGCAAGGGGTTAAGCCCAGCACTATGAAGCTGTCCGCAGCCTCTGCAGCACGAGTTCGATTCCCTGCTGACCAGGGAGATACCCACATGGTACAGCAGACTTCTGTCTCACCTGTTGTTCCCCTGAGCAGTGTATTTCAGCCTGTTCTGTTCCCCACTCTGTCTCAGGTGAATCCTCTCTCCCCCTGCACCTCTGGCCTGTACCCTAGTTCTTGTGTGCATAAATAAATTACAAAATAAATAAAATTGGGGAGGGAAGAGCTCTGTAGACGGACCCCAAAACACAGAGAGGGAAGAGGGGGCCTGGCAGATTTGAACACATTAAAAATGAAACCACAAACACTTACATACACACCCCCTCTGATGCAGGAATCCATCCTAGGAAATGTTTTCACACAGGCAAGAACACATATGCACGAAGATTTGCATAGCAAGAGGCTCTCATTGTTGCTGATAGGAGAGGCTGGGCAACATTTTCCATACAGGAAGTGGACATATGTTTATTTTATAAGTGATGCTACTTTCAGACAATGAAATAACACAGAGGGATTAAAAAGAATGCTGTTCTGTTGCAGGCTGCAACATGAGCCTTGAGGATAGGCTGCTAAGTGAAATAAGCCAGACCAAAAAAAGGACAAATGTTGCATGATTCTCTTATGTGAAAATACCTGGAACAAGCAAATTCATAGGCAGAAAGTAGATTCAGGATTACCAGAGGCTGGGAGGTGGGGCAGGGAAATAATTGCTTAGTGGTTACAGAGTTTATTTTGTTTGGAGTAATGAAAAAGTTTTTAAAAACAGTGGTGATGGGTGTACAACATTGTGAACATAATACAGCTGAATTGTATACTTAAAAAATAGCTAAAATGGTAAATTTTGTATTATGTATATTTTAACACCCCCACCCCCACCCCAAACAACGCAGTGGACTTATAGATCCTGGCATGGAAAGTGCTCCAAGACACCAAGTGAAAAAGAGCAAAGTTGCAGAATACTACACAAAAGATGATCCCATTTAGGTAGAAGGAGCACAAAAACTACGTATGGAAATATGTGCCCACATAGTTGCAAGTGCATTTAAAATGTAAGTTGTGGTCATGCTTGGGAAGAGGCATGGGATTGGGGGATAGAGAAGGGGTACTGCTCACTTTGTATTGTCTAAAATTCTATACTGTATTCTAATATGCTATTGTTTATATATATATTTAATGAACATGTGTTCATGTACTACTTATACAATTAAAACATACTGCAGAAATTCTTTTTTTTTTTTTTGAAAGCAGCCTTTTTCTCAGACCAAATATGTGTCAGTGCGGCAGGCCTGGGGGTGTTAGGCTCCCCTGTGATGCCTGGACAGGAAGATGTTGTTTGGCAGCATCAAGGGGCTGCTTGGGGCTAGCCTCTGTCACTGAGGGCCATATAGATTAAACTGCCTTTGGGCTCGCCTGGAAATTAGTCTGCACTGGCAACATGGTTTCTATGGGCCCCTGAGCCTGGACATGATATATCTTTATTGAATGACCAAGTGAAGGAAAGGAAATATGCCTGTAGGGTAAGTAAAAAGTATCAGGCTTTTCCGCCCTCTTGCCATTAGCTTAAATGCATGCCTGATGGTGGATACCTGGAGCAGGGTATGGGCATGCACAGTTGGGTATACCTGGGCTAAGACGGCTTAGAAGGGTGGCATCATGGGGATGCCAGCAGGACGAGAGCAAAAGGAACAGAAAAACAAAGGCTATGAGAGAACGTCGGAAAGCCCAGGAGTGAAGATGTGCTGGGGGCTGGGAGACCTGCCAGCCTCCTGGTCCCCTGGCACCCCTGCCTGCTGTGTACCTGGTAAACTCAATAAAAGCCTGAAAAAGCCACCAAGGGCTCCAGGACTCCTCCTTCATCCCGTCTGCTCGGGTCATAGAGATCCTGCTCTGTGTCTTCCTGCCGCTACAATGCCACAAATCTTTAAACACCTTTTGATAAGGGGCAATAAGGTGCATCAAAAGTGGCCAAGGACACTGCCCAAATAGTTTTGCAGCCACTATCTGAGTTCTTAAACACGTGCACAATTGCCAAGACCACTCAGACTCAGGGAGCAAAGATAGTGGGATACATTTAACAAACAAGGAAAAACAGAGTCACTGAGACCACAAATGGCCATTTACCTCAGCCAAAGCAATGCTTTGGAGTCCTAAAACAAAAAGCGTCTAAGATGGCATCTTTCTGCCACTGAAGCAAGGAACCCCCATTCCGAAGAAAAGGCCACGCTGCCAAGATGGCATCTTCCTGCCACTGAGGCCCTGGAGCAGTGGCAGCCAGGTAATAGGCTGGGACCCAACTCATGAACACACCAGAAGACACAACAGAAGACACTCACCAGAGCTGCTGAGATGCCCCAGCACAGCACCAGACAAGCGACATTGGAAACAGTAGCTGCAGCAGCCAAACCACCCGACAAACAGACACACTCATGTGGCTCAGTGAGGTGCCTGGCTCCGGGTCTCAGCTTCCTTTCCAGACTGTAACAGCAGCAAAGCTGGGAACAGTTCCAGTCACTCTGCTACCTACAAAGCCTACGAACTTTACTCCTCTGAGGCTGGCTGCTGGACGCCTCTCCATGTCCTTCAGAGGCCCGCAACAGCCTCTGGAAGAGCAACACGGTAAGGGCAGAAACAGCTGACCCTGGAATTGCCAAAAATACAGAAATGCCAAAAATATGGAATCACTGAAATTCTGAAAAAGCTGAAATCCCGAAAATGCTGAGTAATGCCCGAAGAGGCTGAATTCCCAGAGCTGCTTCTGTAGTTCCCTGTGTTTCTTCTCAGAGTCTCCACCCCACTCATTCTTTGTCTTTATTTCACCTGGGGCTGTTCATCCTCATCTGCACCACCTGTGACAGCCTTTGGTTTCAGCCCCCAGTTACACTTTTGGAGGCAACATATCTAAACAGAGGACCTTTCTATAGAAACCAAGAGAGCAAATGTTACCCACTCACGCTCCTCTGCCTGAAGCTCGCAAAGAGGTTACGGTCCTCCTGGGTGGACTTGGATGAATCCAGTAGTGGCTCCAGGTTCACCTATACCTTGCTTGTGACCAATGATAAATTACTTACTCTTCCTGAGAGGCACATTCTAGAAGAACATAACCACTCTGTCGCAGGGTCATCTTATCCCCATTTGAGTGAAAAGATGGGGTCCCTCACAGGCTGCATCCACCTTACACCTGTGTGGATTGACCCCCAGAGAAGCCATGGTGGGAGACAAAGAGTTTAACCAAGACTCAGGGGAAGTCATTTCGTGGGTTGGGAATTCATAACCCTTGAATGCTCTCGGGAAAGGAAAGATAGCCTGATCATTGGTTTCTGAATAGCAGACTTTGAACCACATGAAGTTCACCGGCCTTTGTGTTTACAGTGTGGTTGTAAGGATTACTTTTCAGGGGAGTGATCTTTTCCCTGGCACTCCTCTGTGAAAGCAAACAAGAGTGTGGTGGTTGTCCTGTCCTCCCCATCACAAACTACTCCTGCCACAGTTTGGCAGAAGGTATGAACATTGTAGGGGGCAAGAGACAAGAGGTAAGGAGGGAAGCTAAAGTCAGAATTTGGCCTTTACATTTTAAAGAGTCCCAGTATCAAACATATTCAACCCAAAACAGCTGCAACTTCTTTATGCAAAACTGCCATTGTCACAACTGTTTAGAGTACATCAAGGACTATACTAAATGCTTTCTCTGGAGCTGATTGTGTATTACTCACAAGAATGCGATAATTTGGGTTCTATTAACACGGCTCCCATTTCACAGAGTTTGTCAATAAAGCAAAAACAAGGGAAAGTAATTTACCTGAGGTCTTACTGCTCATCCCTTGGAACTGGAGCACTGAGGCAACCTGAATTCTGGGCTCCTCCTCTTCATTTCACATTCTGCTCTCTTCAGTTTTTACACATTTTCTCCACAGTGTTTTTCTTTTTTCCTGTCTGGTCTTCCTGCATACCATCTTACTGACCTACCTTCTTCTTCTCTCTCTCTCTCCTTCCAATCCATCTTGGAGTTTGAGAGTCTGTATACAAAGTCCCTCTCTTCCCCACTAAATTAGGAACCCATTAATTGAGAATAGGTTCAGAAGTCAGACGGAGATGAACACATAGCTTTGTTCTTAATTAAAATTGAGATTGGAGGATACGCCTTAGACCTGGGGGTGAATAGGCTGACAATAATCCCCTGAATTGCATTGACCCTTAAAATGGCACATTAAATGATAAGAGAGCAGTCTTTCCTGTTAAGTTCTCCAGAAGGCCGAGAGCAGTTAGTGTGCCTTCTGTAGGCAGACAGATCTAAAAAAACAGAAAGAAAGTCTCCATAGGGCAATTAAGTGTTCTCCAACCATTTTGTTGTAACCTCAGTTCTAACCATGTGTAAAGCAACCAACCCATTCCGAGTAGGTTTATGAAGGGTTCTAGCAGCCACATGCTCTTCGCCGCTATTTGTAGTCGCTGTACTCCTCCATACACTCCACTTCTCCACCCTCGACACCGCACTACCACCACACCGCACTCTGCTGCACCACCCTTATAAATCAGTCTCTTAGCTCAGGAGTACCCACCTACGCATGCCCACACCCTACTCCAGGTGCCCACCATCAGGCATGCACTCAGGACCGCAGGGTTCCTTCATCCATCGTAATGGCTGGAGGGCAGAAAAGCCTGATATTTTTCCTTACCCTACAGTCCACCCCCTCAGGGTTTTCTGCTATATAGTCTTCATATATACAATTTTCTTAGCAAACAATGTAGCCATGGCCCACAAAAGCAAATACATCACAATATAACAAAATAAACAGAACACAAGTAAGTCCAGGCAGGGCCCCAACCTAGTGGCAAAAGACAATTATTGGTACCAGCAGATGAGCCACCAAATCTGCTGCTGAAGGCACTGCTCATACGAGGGAGGGGAATCACTCAGACATCTCTGTTACATGCCAGGAGCCGTCAGGCTTCCTGACCTTCTCTGGCTGTAGTTTCGGCTACAAGCCACACACCGCATCCACCCCCAGGATGCACTCACTCCTGGATTGGGAGTTCTCTACTCTTTGGGGGTAATCACCCAACCCTCAGGGTTTCTGTCTGCTGTCGCTCCAACACTCGGCTTTCATAGCCACCGATGTGACTTGCAGACCCCTGCACTCAGACCAACCCACTGCACAAGCACATGGGTCGGGGACCTTAGATGCAAACTCTACATACAGCTTGGGATCCACCCCAAGCCACGTTCCCCACCTGTCCCCCAAGGACAGGTTCCTCAGCAACTCACCTTCACTCGACAATGAGCAGGGCATCACCCACAGGTGATTTTACGAGACTCACAGGTCTTCAGCATACTTAGGCTGCTTAACAGCCGTTCAGGGCTTCTCAAACTTAGCATCAGTACCAGCTTTTGCCTTCTCAGTTGGCTTTTCTCCTCCAACTAGCTGCTGGGCATACACATGCTGCTTTTGGCCATCAAGGCCCACTGGCCACCCCCAGATTCTCAAAAAAACATAACCTGCCAAGGTCCTCCGCCTTCTGGCGGGATTGTCAGTCCATGTCCATCAGTCCAAGTCTGTTGGCCTCTCCCTGCATCAGCACTGGTGAGCTCTGAATCACGGTCCTCTCTTCGCCAATGATTCTTGCTGCCTCAGGGGTCATTGGCTGGTCCTCTCAAGTGTCTCCTTCATGTGAGGTCTCATCCTACAGCTCCCACACCTTGTCCCTCTCCTGTGCCACCATGACGCCTCCAGCATTGTTGTAGCCAAACAGTCTGTTACTCCTTAGTCCCTCCAGGTCTTTGGAGGGCTCCATACCCGTCTGCATGGATCATCCTGCCAACTACGCCAATTGTAGGGGCAGGACAGGACACAGTGTGGGTTTTCTAGGATCCCATGCAGACCGGGTAAAGGAGGAGTCAGACTCCTCAGTGGTTTCTGCAGGTCTTTTTTTTTTTTTTAAGATTTATTTATTTATTTTTTATACAAGCATTGGGTACAGTCAGAAGTGCAGGAGGGTGAGAGCATTCACCAGAGCCAGAGCGGGGAGCAGAGCAGGCAGAAGGACCGAAGTACACTTCTGAGGGGAGCAGCGGGCTGCAGGAGAGGTCTGCGCGCCATGCGGGACCCTCCTCCAGTGGCCGGGGAGCAGCCGGGGATCGAACCGGCGCTGCAGAGGCTGCGGGCAGCTTCGCAACCCAGCGCTCAACCGCTGCGCCACCTGGGAGGCCCGGTTTCTGCAGGTCGTTTATTGGGATTTACCCGGTACACAGCAAGCAAGGGTTCTGGGGGGGCGGGAGGCTGGCAGGCCTCCCAGCCCCCAGCAAGTCTTCACTCTATCTGGGCTCTCCGGTGTTCTCTGCTTCTCTCTCAGCTACTGCTGCTTCTTTCTTGGCTTCTCTTAAGGCTTCTCTTTTGGCTTCTCCTTGGCTTCTACTGGTGTCCCTGTGATGCTGCCCTTAAAAGCACAGTCTTAGCCCAGGTGAATCCCATCTACCTATGCCCACACCCTATTCCAGATGTCTGCCATCAGGTATGCATTCAGGACCGCAAGGATCCATCATCTATCCTGATGGCAGGAGGGCAGAAAAGCCTGACATTTTTCCTTACCCTACAAACATCCTCACAAATGTCTGGCCAGATGAGTGAGTCACTTTTAGGACTGAGTCCCCAAAGCATTAAGGTGCTGAAAATGTTCATTGCAGTCTTATTTGACTTCAATGAAAAACTGGAAATGCTGGGAATGTTCTTTAGGAAAAGGGTTTTCACAAATCATGGTGGATGCGGACAGGGGATACACAGCGCTACCGCTGACGCTCAGAAGGTGTTTTACCATCATCTGTGTGTTATGATCTTTTTCATTTTTTTTAAATATCCAAAAAAGAAGATTTATTATAAAAAGGGAGAGAAGGAAAAAAGGACACTTGCATAGACACAAGCAGGCACAAAGAGATGCCCCTAGGTTTGCTAAAGAAGAGGCCTGTGTAGCCACAGGTGGGCAGCCCTGGGAGAGCTGCCTCTGCTGCTTTGCAAAGGGAGGTCAGTGAAGTGCAGTGAAGTACCTGCACAGTCACAGGTGGGCAGGAGAGCTACTGCAGGGGAGAAGGAAGGCGAAGAGGAACACCTGCATAGGCACAGGCGGGCCGAAGGGCTGCTGCTATGTGTCACGATCTTAAACAACAAAACCCCATGTATAGAATGACATATAGTTTGGTCTATAAAGGAAAAGTGTCTGACATGCAAAATCCCCTTTCTTACTTCACACAGAAATGCTGATAACATCAGCACATTTCAAAATTACATGACCACACCCAGCACCCTTCCTCCCAAAAAACCACAACATTAAAAGAAAAAAGAAATCTTCAGATGTAAAAGTCAAGAGGTCCCCTGCCTGAATTGTGTGGGTCACCCCAGGGTTCACAGAACAGCCCTGGGAGGGCACCCCACTGGCACCTGGGCTGTGGGAGATGGAACTAGCCAAGTTTATTGCATCACTAAAGATGCAATAATCCTTTCACAGTCCAAAAAAAAAAAAATCAGCCCCATTTCAAACTCACAAGAGACTCCCTTTAGATAAACACTTCTGAAAGGTGGAGCCTGAAGTAAGTACATGTATGTGCATGTGTGTGTGTATACACACATATATATACATATACAGTATATATATTATATATATATGTTTATATATCTCCTATGTACTACAACAGGTCAGTGAAACCTAAAGAGCTATTGGCATGTTCCTTAAGCTGTGTTTTGCTTTGTTAAAGGCAATTTGCTGGCACCAGTCATGGAGTGACTAGTCCTTCCGAGAGAACGCTGGCAGAAATGGCAAGAGTAGAGCTCTAGGTCAAAGCAGATTCTGGACCAAGCTAATGAAACAAGGGTCTCAGGACCCTCACATGGCATGGTTCCTTCATGGGTTTGCACCCAATTTTGTGTTCTTTTTCCTTAAAAAGGGTCCCCTGAATTTAGAAGCCCCAGCCCCCCACCCAACTGATTTGCCCCTTTGAGGCTGGTTTTTATTTTTCCTTGGTCCCATAATAGGAAGAACCTTGTGTCTGAAGGGAAATGCGGGCATCTCAAATAGAATAAGGAAGAAATAGTCACTTGCCTTGAGTTTTTCTCTAGCCTCTTCTATTTGGGCTATGTTGCCATCTTGCTGCTCCTTCTTGGTTGCCAACTGCCTTAATGATTCTTGGGTGAGACTCTGTACAAGAAGGAGTTAGGCAGAAAGTCTTAATACTCAAATACTTTTGAGAGAACAAGGCATCCCATGGGTGATCTCATCCTGTAATTTGTTTTACCCAAGGTACTTGGGACTCAGAAGGAGAGGATCCTTGCTCAATGTCACAGAACAAGTTGGAGGATGGGCTGGAACCAGGCTGTCTGATTCTCAGAGGCTCACATCAGGTATTCCCCTCTTCCAGTTTTTTCTAGGATGACCTGTTTTTCCAGCCCCCAATCAAGATCTTAAGGCAAATGTGTGGGGTCAGGGGAAGAGCATTCGCTATCTGTACAGCAAATATTAACTGAGCACTTATTATTTCCTGGGCCCTATACTGGGAGCTGTCCTCATGGAATGTATACTTCAGTGGGTCTGTGGACCCTCTGGCCTGGAAGACCTGTATGTATGAGAGTTGTGTGGGATTCATGGCCCCTCTCCCTTCCACCTGAAATGTTTCCTTCATTTCTCTGCTTCTTGCAACTGTCATTTCCCAAAGGCTAACTCTGACCCTCCTTCCTCTCAGGTATGACCTTACCTCTGCCTTAACCTCTTTAGGGATATCTTAACGTTATCTCTATCTTAACTTTCTTTACTTGCTGAGCCAGGTTTGGCTGCCTGGTGGGCTGGGAGCTTCCTTTGGGCAGGTCTGCTTCATTCCTAGCTCCCACATAGTGCCCTGATTTAACAGAGCCAAATGAATGCCTAGGGCTGCTAAATTCAAGTGGAGAGCTGGAGTCATTGGCAAGTTGTTATGAGCATAAGCTCCAGAGTCAGAGAAGAGCACCTACATCTGAGTTCCATATCTTCTTCCATGTGACCTGGGCCAATGACCTCACCTTTGAAACCTCATGTCCTCAGTAAAACATGAGGATACCCTCACAGACTTGCTGTGGGGACTAAATGAGAGCTATAGAAAGTGCTTGGTATAGTGTCTAACAGGGAGTAAGGGCTCGATATGTGCAGCTTACTGTTATTTTAATGCCCACCAAGCATTTGCTAACAGGTGGGGGTTGAGGGTGCAAGTGTAAGTCATAGCCTCAACTTCCAGGAGCACATTCTATCCCCCTGTGACTTCTAAGCCTTCTGTCCTGCCCACCATCCAAGGATACCCAGCCTCCTGGTGTCAGTGCCCTCGAGTTACAGGGTGCATCTCCTCATCCTTCAAGGCCAGTTCCAGTGGCACCTCCTCCATGTGCTGGATTTCCTGTCTTTGCATCACACTTTCTTCTTTCTGGTACCCAGGAACCACTACCGTGGGCTCCCTGGTTATACTATTTATCACACTGTATTGTTGCTGTCTGTTCTCCCCCCACCAGCCAAGGAATTCCTCTCCAGGTCAGGGAAGGACTGAGCTATTCCTTGACTCATGGCACAGGGTATGTGCTGAATGGATGTTAGATGAATAGATGGATGAAAGACAAACAGAGTTGAGTGGGTAGGTGTGTGGATGAAAAATCCATGGGCAGGTAGGTGGACCAATGGACAACTGGATGAGAGGCACACCTGCATCTCTGCGGAGCAGCCTTATTAACTCTGAAAAACAGTCTTTTAAGGAGCTATTATTATTATAGCCATATTATAGTTAAGGAAAAATCCTAGAAGGCAGAGCCAGGGCTTGAACCCAAGACTCTACCAGCTAAACTGGCCCCCAGGCACTCATTTTCACTTCTGAGTTCTACGGTTGCCTCTAAGTGATGGTGTTACGTCATGCCATGAAGGGAAATGATCCTTGTAGGGCTGAGTTAATCACAGAAGACTTGTTAGACGTGGAAATGGAAGAATTGATGTTTGTCAGAGACAGGAAAGCCTGTGTAGACTAGATAGGCCAAGAGATTTGACCAGAGCTGCAGAACAAGTCAGTCACAAGGCTGAAACAAGAGTTCAGCACCCTGGCCACCATTAGGATCAAGTGTAGACTGGGATTAAGCATGAATAAGGGCTCTAAATGGGCCAGTGAGGGGCAGTTCAGCTGGTGGAGTCCTGGATTCAAGGTTCCCCTCTTGCTTCCAGATTCCTCTTTTTCTCTGGATAAAATGGCCGTCCTAGCGCCCCCCAGTCTAAGGGTCTGAGCGAGAGGAACAGGCCCACCAGAGTCTGTGGAGTTGGTCCTGAGGTTGCTCCCATGGCCAGCAGGCCCAAGAGCCCCTCTTTGAACTCCAGAAAGAAAACCAGAGATGTCTGTGTGGCTTGGTAGGGCCACGTAGCTTTTATCTAACAGGCAGGGATTTTCACCTATTAAAAGGCAGATTATATTCCAACCCAAGAGCAGTGGGGTGGTCTTTCCCTTTGCAGATGACGTTAGGGTTATCAGGGTACCAGCCAGGGCTCATGAGTTCTCACTCCCAAACTCACCTCTCCCGAAGAAGCTTAACGAATCGCCTCGCTTCCCCTTTGCCCTCCTTGGGCCTGGATCCTGAACAACAAGTCAACAGCCTCAGACTCTCTCGGCGGCCTTTGGGTTTCCAGGCCCAAACCAGGAACTGGGGCCGCCCCCGGGCACTCCCACCCGCCCGTTGCACCGGGCTCCCGGACCCGCGTGCCTGCCACCCGAGCCCCCACCTGCACGCGCGCGGCCTCCTCCTTCGCCAGGCCCACAGGGTGGCCGCGATGCGCGCCCAGCACTGGGCACAGCGTGCACACGCAGCGGCGGCAGCGGCGACAGTAGAGTTCGGCCAAGCGGTCGCCGTGCTCTCTGCAGCGCCAGCCGCTCGCGCCGGTGAGCTCCTCGGGGTCGGACCGCGCAGGTGTCTCGCTTGGCCCCGGAGCGCCCGCCATGCATCCCCCCACAGCAGCCAGTTGGCGCAGCGCCGGAAGGAGCTCCGAGGGGAATCGAAACCCGGGCGGTGGGGCGGAGCCCAGCGTTGCAAATGGCCCAGCTCGCAGAGGCGAGGTGACAGGGCACGGCCTGGGGGCGGGGGTGAAAGCGCAGCTTCTGCAGCCTTGGGGCTCGCAGGGTGCTCTCCCGCCCTGGACAGCTTTAGCTCATTCGAGGTCTAGTGGGCTTGTGGCTGACCTGGAGGTGACCGGCGTAGAAGTGGGGTCTCACTCCCATTGCGCTAACTGGAAGGTGGTGGGCTTTTCCCCTGCAGCCCTGTGGGTGGGGCCAGGGCTGGCCGTGGGCTTGCGGATGGTGTCATGCAGGACCTCCGTTTTCCACTTTCCTTTCATTCTCTCCTGCTGTTGTGTACTGACTTAGGATTTCAAATCCATGTTTGCAAAGCTTTTTCCGGATGGTGTGAACTTATTTTGAATAACTTGTTTTGAAGTTAGGCATTAGCACTTATCCTTATACGCATGTGCGGATGATGTCAGCAAAATTGTGCTTGTCATCAGGAACAGGCAGAGGACTCTCACATCACGGAATCCATAGTAAGTCGGGGGTGTCCATCATGTAGTGGATTGTGAGGAATGGCTAAGATTGTTCCCTGGCTAGGGCAACTCTCCTCTGATGGAAGTAGCTCTCCAGCGAACTTGGGACATCACCCATTACCTCGCAAAATTCATCTTTGCCCTCTGTGCTAAGAACTGGGCAGTAACCAGTGAAGATTATCTAGTTTTATCTCTCAACACCTGTGACTTCACTCTGACGCTATTTACTTTCCACTGACAGCTGGACCTCAGTCTCTGTTGGCTGAATTGATTCTCCTGATAACCAACTTGCAGAAAGGTAGACCTCTGCTAAATTTGGACTTAATTTCTTTCACCTCCCCTTTGCCTGGGACAATAGTGTAATTAACCATTATTGGTTTAGATTGTTATTTCTTTATAGGCTGTTGAGACATTATCCTGTACGCTCTTGGTTTGTGTTATTATTACACATTAGAATGCCCACAATGAACGTGTGTTACATTATCAGGAAGGACAGCTTCAGCCTCTGAACATAATTTTGCCCCACAAGCAAAACTCTTGCCCTTTCCCTAGGAGAGCTAACCATTTTACAATTGTAAGAAACACTCTGGAAACTCCAATTGCTCCCAGACTAAGCTCCCTATTTTCACCAAATGCAAATTGGTACAGCTACTATGGAAAACAGCATGGAGGTTTCTCCAAAAATTAAAAATTTCCATAGCCACCCAACAATCCCTTTTATGAGTATACATCAGAATAGCAAATCAGTTTTTGAAGAGATACCTATCAGCACTCTCATGTTCCTTGCATTATTCATGAGAGCCAAGATATGGAAGCAAGTTGTGCCCTTTGATAAAGAATATATATATATTCTACAGTCATTCAGCTATAAAAAAGGAAATCTTGACATTTGTGACATGGATGATCCCGGAAGACATTAAATTGCTTAGTGAAAGCTTTGGAAACAACCCAAATGCCCCAAAATAGATGACTGGATCAAGAAGATGTGGTACATATACACCCTGGAATATTACTCAGCATTCAAAAAAGATAAACACATGCAATTTGCAGCAACATGGATGGCGCTGGAAGGGATCATGCTCAGCGAAATAAGCCAGAAAGAAAAAGAAAAATACCGGATGGTCTCACTCATAGCAGGAATCTAGAAAACTTAAATAAGGGACCCGGAAAATGAATAACTATAAGAAAGTGAAAATCAAAATCAACAAAAAACTATGAACCAGACACACTCTATGGGGGGTAGGGGGCGGGAGGGGAGGGATTGGGGTCAAAATAAGGGGGTTGTAATTGTATGGGGAATATAAAAATAAAATTTATTATTAAAAAAATAAAATAAATTGCTTAGTGAAATTCAAACAGAAAAAGACAAATACTATACGGTATCACTTACATGTGGAAACTTAAAAAAAAGAAAGTCAAATTCATAGAAACGGTGTGAAAGGGGGCTGCCAGGGGGTGAGCAGTGGAGGGAAAGGGTAACTTTCAATTATAAGATGCATAAGTTTTGGAGATCTAACACACAGCATGGTGAGTATAGTTGAAATTTGAGCAAATCTTGAAATTTGTTGAGTAAATCTCAAGTGTTCTCAACACCACACACACAATGGCAATGTGAGATGATGGATGTCATTGTGGTAAGGACCTCACAGTATACATATATTCAAATCATTGTATTTTACTCTTTAAAAATCACATGCAACCTCTATGTATTTATGACAACCAGACTGCAACAAAGCTAGAAAGCAACTCTTAGCTTCCACCTACAAAGTCTTTGTCTCTTACACCCTTGATTCCTGCCCTGTCTATGCTTCCCCCTCTGCTTGTTTTCAGACCAAGAACAGATTTCTACTTGACTTTTTTCCTCAACTGTCTATTTTTCTGCTCACTCCCATTTAGCTTTCAGGTTTGTTTACATATCACCTCTTCCAGGAAGCTCTCTCTGCTTCTCTTCCCAGGCCAGCCTGCAGTTCCTCTACCTGATATTTCCCTTTCCCAGAACTCTGGGGACCCGAACCTGCCTTACCTGTTTCTGGTGTCTGACCCAAACAGTAGGTATGAAACTGGCATTTGTAGAAGAAATCAAGAAAAGCAAACCACCATGTATTAAAATGTCAGATAGACAGATGTTTATTATTTTGTTACATTCTTTCCATTGCACAATTCCACATCTATTTGTTTTCACTTTGTTTTTTAATAAAGGTAAAAGGAATTTCAGCAACATTAAAACAATCATTCAAACTGTTTCAGGCACGGTTTCATATGAAAAGCATAGATTGATTTTTGACTTCTGGTTTCCCTCTATGATACAATCTCAAGTTTTGTTCCAGGAAGGACAATTATTGTAGAGCTAAGGTGGATACACTCCAAAGCTCATCTCTCAGTGCTGTCTTCATTCTCAGAAAGTTCCTGAGTCAACAGTCGGGGGCTCCCGGGCTATGGAGTAAGGAGATGAGGGCTTGCTCTACTTCATTAGTCAAGAACATTAACAAAAATGTAATTTTAAAAAATGACTTAAAAAAATATCTGATAAAAATTATCTCTCCCTCTCCCTTGTGAAATAATCTAAATAATTTATTCTAGATGTAAAAAAAAAAAAAGTTTGTTCAAATATGCCTTCGTATTGTTTTTAAGCATGGAGTCTGGGTCCCTTAGGGTGGGCTGGATGGTTCTTTGAAGAGGTGGCACTGAGGCACGCCCTGACCTCCGCTTCACAGCCACTGTCGTTGGTTGCGGTGTGTCTTCATTCTCTGAGGCTGGGTCTTCCTTTTGGAACATGGGGAGGACAATGCCTGCCTCATCTCTGCTGGAGAAGGGGACATCTGGAGGTGGAGGTGGGAGTGCTCTGTAAACTGTGAAGTGCAGGTGACAGATGAGGTGGGAGACGTAACCAGCCAGTGGAGCTCTGCTTCCCTGACAGTGTCTGGGATTTGACCTTTGGCAAACTCGGCAAGCCCCAGAGACTGAGGAAATGGAGCCCAAGATAAGGTGGGTGTCTGATGTGTGCAGGTAGACAAGGGAACTCAGTCATGGCTTGGGGTGCTGGGGCAATCAAGGGCCCGGAACCTCCATAGTGCTGCAGGCAGAGGTCCAGAGACTTGGGAGAGGTTTGGGGACAATGCTTTTTGACTTTTTTAGGGGCTGTTGACTAGGACTTAAAAGATGGAGTTGGAGTCTCTGCTCGTCAGGCTCTCACTGTCCTCCTCTCTACTGCAGATATGTACATCTCCGTCCCCACTGCATTGCTGAATCACTGGGGAGCTTAGAAAAACACACAGCTCCAATTGGTCTGGGGTTGGGCCTGGGCATCTGTATTTCCTAAACACTTCCATGGGGATTCTCATGCACTGTTGGGTTAAAACCTATCAGGCCAGGTCAGGTACTATAGCCCCTCCCTCCATCTGAGTTCCAGGATCCCACCCTGTGCAGTGAGCAAAAATTATTTGCAGGTCTGGGGCAAGAGTGGTAGAGGTGGGAGCACACTAAATTTCCAAGCATTCCCTCTATGCAGCTGGTCCATTGTACTGACCACTGAGAGAGAACCCTGGAGAAGGGTCCAGAACACAGATTCACAAAGAGGGGGTCACAGAAAAACTCAGGTTGGAAGAGAATCTGGGTCATCTGGCCCTACTTCCTTACCAATCCTCTCCAGAAGAGCCCTCCGGCTGGATGGCCACAGGGCTCTGTTGGCACACTCCAGAGCTGAGGCACCCTTCTACAATTAAAAGTTAATTGTAGAGCTTCTGTGCCCTGAAGGCTTTGGAGGGGGTAGTCGGAGCTTGGGGGGCAATGCTCTGACCACATCCCCATATAAGGGACTATGTCTCCCTTCATTTGGCTGATTCTGGTTGAAGAGAGGATGGTTTGGGCTTCCTGTCTGTGTTCTAGAAGTGAGCTGAAGTCAAGCCTGATGAGCTCCTGCAGCAAATAGCCCATTCATCAATAGCCCACATCACCAGTAGCCTACATGTAGTTTTCTCAGGTCAAGGCTAAGTTTCTTGTTTTAAATGCTAGATCCTGTAGAGGGCAGCACATCCCAGGGCCCCTTATTCAGATGGAGAAATTGAGACCTGAGGAGGGTCAATGACCAGAGGTCATTGAGCAGTCAGAGACACAGCTGAGGCCACAACCAATGAGTTCCTTGCCCCAGGGGCTGAGAACAGCAGACAGACAGACCATTGGGACCAGATCTCAGTCCAGTCCTGCCATGAACTCTTGGGGATCTTGATTACTTACTTGCCCCTCTCTGGGTCTTAGTTTCTCCACCTGGAAAATGAGGGAGTTTGGCCAGATCACTGCTTTTTAAGCTTCTGATTTTCTTTTTAATTAGTAGAATTATGTATTCCATAGAAGCCAATATACAAAATTTTAAAAAGGGGAGTGTCTGATTGGAAGGGGTGTGTGTTGGGGTAGGGGCGGGGACAGCCTTTCTGTTTAGTCTTCACCCTAGTCTGGACCACAGTCTGAAATCAGAGGCAATTCACCTCCTAGCTCCTTCCAGCTCTATTTTTCTATATATATTGTTCTTTCCCTTTGGGAGGTTACAGCTCACAATGGACCCCTAAACACAGAATTAAATAGAAGGCAAGATAGCATCTAAAAGGAACTGTTGTTGCAAGAAGGCAACAAGAAAAACGGCACCATGTCCCACTGGAATCTTTCAGCGACTGAGAGCTTTGTTTTCTGGTAAAAAATATAGAAATAGTGGTTGTTCACGGGAGACCTGTGATTCGGTCCCAGACCTCCCCATGGAGCCAAGTAGTGTCCCTGAGGGTGGGGAGGGCAGAGACCTATGCTCAGAACCTCCCTGAGCTCATCCGCAAGTTTTTGATCTCTAGTTCCAACTGTTTGGCCTGGACTTCACGCTGAGTCACCAGCTCCCGCAGCCTTCGGATCTCCTCCTGTTGCCGATAGAACATCTGTAGCAGCTGGCAAAGAACAGAAGGGATGGTCACCTGGGTGTCCTGGGAAAGCAGCAGAGGATAAAATATCGTTCTTTTTGGACTTAGAAAAGTGGGGGGTGATTAATGTGGCTGGAGCCTGAGGGGGCAGCTATTGCATTGACAAAATCCTTGTTTTCTCCCCCCAAAAAATGAGACTCAAAAAATTTGTTTCAAGTAGCTTTTTCGCCCTTTTAGATCCCTGTGGGAGGGAGGAAAAGTACTTGGCCTGAAGTCTGAAGACTGGTGTTTTCACCACTAAGTACCTTCAGGCAAGTTACTTACCCTCTCTGAGCTTCAATTTCCTCCTCTGAAAACTGGGTGTCAGAAAAGCTGATTCAGAATTATCGTAATTGTAGTCACTGTACAGAATGGCAGTAGAATATTGGGTGCCTCCCTAAGGATTTTTGTTACTGTACCAGTCATGTTTGTACCCCCACTTTATGGAAGCTGAGGCTAAGAGAGACTCAGCCCAGGTCTGAGGTCCTGCAGACAGTCCCCAGCAGGGTCAGACTGCAATGATTGCGAGGAGCCAGCCCTTGAGTTTTCAGCCACTATGTACTGGCTCCCAGGGCTGTAGAGACAATTCAGTCAGATGACAGACCAAAGTACCCACACAGTAGGCACTTAACAAATACCCACTCTGAAAGCACAGGTATTCCAATTGTTAGGGCGAAAAGGATGCCCTAAAGCTAATTCCATACAGGCTTTGTGGACTCCACCCCCACCCCAGGCCAAAGCCAAAGACACTGGGAACTCCAAATCCCATCACCACCAAAGGGAAGGTGGCTGGGACCTGAGGGTGGGGTTAAGCAGCCAGGTTGCTATAAACCCAGACACGTGGGCTTTGGAGGGGTTCCCCATTTTGACTCTCTGCCAGCTCGCAGTGTCCGGCCAGCTCGGAGAGTGCTTTTTGGGTTTCCAGGTCGGCGGATCGGGTAGGACGCATTAAAGACTTTATTTCCCTATTTTCTCCCTGAGTTGTACATTTTCCTTATTTCCTTTTCCCTTGTAAATAAACCTTTTATTATCCTTTTGTGTGTGCCTGTAGTGGAGTATTCATAAGTCCCTTGTAAGCGCGCGGGTGAGGACCCACAGCCAGGCAACCCGTTCAATATCGGGGCTGCTCTATAACACTAGGTTGTCACAACTGGATGGAGTTTTTAATACCCACTGGGTTAAGCCCGCTGCATTTAATAGGGGGCTTCCCACCATCTATATGTAAGCCCACGTCAGCACAAAGACGGTGCTCATTACCTGTTTGTTGAGTGAGCCAATAAAGTGAGCTATGGGGCTAGGCCAGGACACACAGCTGGTTATTCTCACGCCTCATTTTCTCTGCCCCCACCCCAGCTGCCCCCTGCAGGCCCACCCCAGCCTCCTCCACACCTCATTCTCTGTCTTTGGTGGGGGGCATTCGAAGATATCAAAGCCGTTTGTGAGCCAGGTTTTCTTCTCCTCCAGTCTGTGCTCTGGCATCCATCTTGATGTCCTCTCTGGCAGGGAGAAGGAGGGCCTACGGCCATCTTCGGGAACCATCTTTTCCTTCTGGTCCGGGAGCCAGGACGACGTGGGGGTTGGGGGGTTAGAAACGGGTTTCTCTGGAGGCAGAGGCTGGGAACTCAGCATCTCGGAGCCGGGCCTAAGGGATACCAGGACAGGCCCTGGGAGGGAAGCAAAGGGCCACATGAGGGCTGAGTGCTCATGAGAGATGGGCCTGGGAGGCCACAGACACAAGTTGGGGAGAGACAGGAGCAAACCCTGTGGATAGAGCAGTCAGGGTGCAAAAGCCTGTGTGTGAGATTCAGTGATGCTTGGTCTGTAGGAACAGCACCTCAAGCCCTGAAGGTACCCTTAGACACTCAGATACCGCCAGCTCCACAAGCAAAGCCATGTTCTTGACTTAGTCAGGACAGTCCCACCCAGAATGTGTCGGCCACCTACCAGTCATGAATTCTCCTGGCCCCCAGGGCAGAAGCAAGGCAGGCAGGATCATGGAGATGGGTGAGGCAACTGAGGCCCACAGAGGAGCTAGAATGCCTAAGACTGGGTGAAACTTGGCACCATGCCCCTGGGCAGAGGCTCCCACCCACCAGGAGGCCCCCTCAGACACTGGTGTGAGTGCATGTGTGTGTGTGCGTGCGCATGTGTGCATGTGTATGTGTGTGTGTGTGCATGAGTGTGTGCGTGCACAGGAAACGGAGCAGAGAACAGCGTGAGAGATCCTGATCACAGAGGCAGCTATTGGAACGGGGGTAGGAACTCGGAGGGGTCCCTGCTCTGGGATGGCCCATATATTGACAGGGCTGGGAGGGCTGCAGACTGGGTAGAGAATCTGGGTGGCGGCTGCTGCTTGGATGGTCTCCCTGATCAAAGGTTGGGGTGTAGGGGATGGGCAAGGGGTTTCCAGTCACTGCACAGTCCTAGAGTTTAAAATTTTCATGGGGCAAAAATCCCTTGATTTGGATAGTGTCTTTGGATAGAGCCACAAGGCTTTCCTTCCTGCCCCATGTGGCCATCACAGTCTCTGGGGACTTGCTGTCCAAGACCTCTTCTCTGGGGTTTTGGGAGAAGGAAACTACAGGCCAAAGCCTACTCAGCTACTTGGGGTCATTGGGGCGCCCCCATCCCACCCCCCATCTCCCCAGGCCTTTTCTCTGCCTTCCTCACCTTTATTCATGCCACCGAGCCACTCCTTGGCGGTCATGGAGGGCTGGGCCCCTGCCGTGGGTGGGTAGATGTCCTCTTGGTAGGATTCCGACTGCAGGAGTAGACAGGACAGTGAGAGTGGAGGTGGCAGGGGGCTGCCCTCGTGGGAAAGACCCCTTAGAGAGCTGGCTCCAGGCTCTCCCAAGCCCTGTGAGTTGAGGAAACTTGGTCCCAGAGAGCAAAGGGATTGGCCCAAGGTCACGCAGCAGCTCAAGGGCAGAGGTAGGGAGACTCAGGACTCCTGCTCCTGGTGGCTCCACGCAGACCGTGAGAATGGCTACTAGCTGCTCAGTTGCTGCTTCAGGGGCAGGGATTCCAGGCTCTAAGGTCTGTCTTCTCCAGGAGGGTTCCCCACCTCCTTCCCAGATAACCCCCACCAACCCTTACCCTCCGGGGCACAATCATGGATACAGGTTCGATGAGGTTTTTGGTTGTAATCAGTTTGTAGAAGCGGAAGATCTCGCAGGATGACACGTCGAGACCTCTCTTTGGCATAACACCTGCGGGCAGATGGCCAAGGAAGGTCAAGAGGTTCCATCTGGGCTAGGGCCGCAGGGACCCAGAGAGAGTGGCAACACCTGGCTGCACCCGTGCAGGAGGACAGAGTGTGCCCTCTCCTCCCCGTCCCACCATTCTCCTCTCTACAAACAGCTCATAAGCAAACACCTCTGCTGGGTTGGGGCCTGTGCTGGGAAAACGGGGGTTGCATCATCAGGCCCTGGTCTTAACTTCAAGGATATCAATGATTTTCACTAGACTTTCACAGGAAGTGTGCTCTGTCCAAGGGCCCCAACTCCATCCTCAAAGCTCAGGACCCAGAAGCTCTTAAAAATGTAACTCCAGTTTTCTTTTGAGTAGCATTAGCAAGGTATTTCTTTGATGAGCATTAGTGAGGCTTTCTTTAGCCTTTTGCTTTTCTTCTAGCTATGTCTTTAAGTGGAACTCTTGTGGACACCACATAGTGTGCTACAGATAGCTCTCTGTGAAAGGGGGAGGAATAGAGAGTGGACACCATTTTCCCCACTCCCACTTATATGTAGCTGCCTTAGACTACAAGTCCCAGCAGGCCATGAACTAGATTTCCTGAGTGGGAGAAAGCTGGGAAAGAGTGGTTATATAAATGGAGGCAGAATGAAGAAAGTGGGGAGGAGACATGTGGAGAAGATGCTTAGAAAGGAGACATGGGTGAGACAAGGGGAGGCTGTTGCTGGTCCTTGGCAGAGACAACGGCAGCCACTCTCTTGACCTCATGTTGGATTATGTGGTATAGTTTGAATTTTGTGTCTTTCCTTTGGTCCCAGCCCTCTGGGACCTGCCTAGTACCTTTCTTGTGGTTCCTTGCCAGAAGGTACCTTCTACTTGTGGCATGGTTTTTGGTCCTCATTGACCCTGGGTCAGGCCAAGCTTGTTTCGCTTGACATTTACCCATTAGGAGATGGGTAATTTGAGTAATTTTATTGGGAAACTATTATTTGAAATTCTCTCTTTGCACACCAATTCTTTTTTTTTTTTTTTTAAGATTTATTTTTATTTATTTATTTATACAAGCACTGGGTGCAGTCAGAAGCGCGGGAGGGTGAGAGAATTCACCAGAGCCAGAGCGGGGAGCAGAGCAGGCAGAAGGACCGAAGGACACTGCTGAGGGGAGCAGCGGGCGGGGGCGGCAGGAGGGGTCTGCGCGCCATGTGGGACCCTCCTCTGGTGGCCGGGGAGCAGCCGGGGATCGAACCGGCGCTGCAGAGGCTGCGGGCAGCTTCACAACCCAGCGCTCAACCGCTGCGCCACCGGGGAGGCCCCATGCACACCAATTCTATTTAAAGTTCCTTACATTAAGTGTGCTTCCTTTGCTTTTGTGTGCATATGGCCAGACTAATTTTAGAGTGCACCCCTAAACAGTATGGGGTCTCTGGATATCCCTCGGTTGTGCACTAACAGTTGGGTGATTTATTTATTTTTAAATCTCAAAACACACTTAAAATGTCAATGCGGACTGCTCCCTCGGGCTTCTCATTGGTTAGTCTTTTCCACCACTTTGCTATAATTAAAAATGCTTAACCTCACCTAGAACACCATCATTTTCTACTTAGGTTGTGCTCTGCTTCCTCTTTCAGCTCCTCAAATGTCACCTTCTCTGGGAAGCCTTCCCTGATTTCTTCCTATGTGTGCCCCTGAAAACTTTCTGCATAGCTCTGCTAGAGGGCCCGTGGAGTCAGTGTTGATGTCACCATCACCCCTTCGGGGCAGGGCCAGCATCTGACTCATCCCTATATCCTCAGCCCCCAATGGTCAAGTGCCCACACTCACCAATTCCTTTCTGAGGGTTGTTGGAGCGGTATTCAGTCAGGTAGCTAAGGTAAGGCTTGTCCGTGCTCACCTCATAGTAGCGGATATTCCCATCTCCCTGAGGAGAAGAGGGTTTGATCAGAGCTGGTTCCAGATGACCCCAACCTGGCCTCCACTGAATGCAACAGAAACCTGAGTTCACAATAAGTGAAGAGTTGGCAAAGCCACCTCACACAAGAGAACACCAGGACTGTCATTAACATAGCTAGGGGGTCCTCATTTTAACACTCCATCTCCCCTACCATGACTCCAAACTCACCCTTGTGCCTCTAAGGTAGGAATTCTGGGAGCACAGGCCCCTCTATTCCCTCCCAGAGCTACCACAAAGACCAGAAGTGATGAGGCCTCAGACTACCTGGTGGGTCTACCCCTGGGGGCACTTCTGGCTGTCACTGTCACAATGACTGGGTGGGGCAGGGTGGGGATGGGGAGTGTGGCTGCTGGTATCTGTGGGTGAGGCCAGGATGCCAAATATGGGTTCGTCTTCCTCAGTGAAGACCTGTTCTGCTCCAAATTTGAAGGTGTCCCTTTTGAGAATCACTGACTGGTCCCTTCCTTATCTGCACCCAGAGCTGGGGAGGGCCTCGCTCAGGGTGTCCCAATGAAGCCCTGTATTCCTGGAGAGTCAGGAAGGTGGGTGGGAGAGGGGCATGGGATTGACACAGGGGAGAGTGTCCAGCGACTTTTGCTTGTTATGCTCTTGTCCTGCACCCCAAGGGGCTCAGGCTGCTCTCTGGACATCAGTGGAACTAAGCTCAGGTTAGTTCTGCCTCCTACCTCCACCCTGACCCCCAACAGGTGGCCACCTCTTTCCCATGCTAGGCTGACCTTCCCCACCACGTAGAGCACGTTGGTGTCCACATCATAGAAGGGAAACAGCACGCCTGAGGAGCCATCCAGGTCCTCCTCCTTGATAGCCTCAGAGAGGTTTTCCTGCAAGGGAAGGGAAACCAGGAAGGCCTGTGAGTCATTCACAAGGCCCTCAGTGTGCCATGGCTCTCTGTGTGTGTGTGTGTGTGTATGTGTATGTGTGTATGTATGTGTATGTGTGTGAGTGTGTGAGCACGTGCGCACGCGCACACACAGAGACAGAAAAAGACTGAAAGAGAAAGTACTATTTATTTTGCCAGCATTGCTTTTAACGAATCCCTTCTCACATACCTGACCTCACCCTGAACCTCCCCAGCCTGTTTTATTATTTATTGTAATAGATAAAGAGGTAGATTAAGAGAAAGGAAGTGATTTGTCCATCTTTGAAACTCCTGCCAACTGCACCTTCAAATCAATATTGCTTGGCCTGCCTCCACCCTGACCCCCACCTCCAGCTGCCCTGAACAAGCAGCTCTCCTGCCCTCACATCTCAGTATTTCATTTCAGGCCTTCACTGCAGCTGTTCCCTCTGTCCAGAAAGCCCTCTTCTCCCTTCTGCCGAGGCCTGGCCCCAGACTTGGCCAGCTTCCTGCCTCCCCAGGGCCATTGCCGGGTCCTGCCCCTCCCTCTCTCTTCTTGAATGACAGGATGTACAAGGTCTGGGCTCAGCCCCCAGGCAGTTGGTGTCCCTGTTAGGATCCTAGACACCAGCCAGGCTATGCTAAGTAAGTGCTGAGAAGTTGAGTGAATGAGTGAGTGAATGAAGCCAGCACTCAGCTGAGGTGTGATGGTGAAGGGTGTGGGAGACTCACCTGGTCCCACAGGGCTATCTGCCGGTGGTTCCATCGGGATGTGCCAGTGGACAACAGCTTCTTCAGGTTCCCCAGAAACAGCACCTTGTTGGGCTTGTGCCCCTGATTGCCGGTTTCCTGAAGGGACATGTGTGGTCAGGGCCTTTGTTATGCCGCTGCTCCATCAGACATGCCTCCTTTTCTCCCAGCTCTGCCTGGACTATCCAGAGGTGCCATCTCCAGCTTTCCTGGGTTTCTCCCATACACATGGAGCCTCTCACTCTAATTTTGTTGCAAGTGCTTTTTCTGAGCTAGGACAGAGGCTAGCTTCTGCCCAGTTTTGAGTTCTTGATGAGAGATTACTGAGCACTCACTGTATGCAAGGCATGAGGCCTGGTGGGCAAAGGCAATTGGGTTATCTCATCGAATCTTCCAAGGGGAAGGACTAATGGGTCCACGGCTGCAGATGAGGGACCAGACGCTCAAGAGCAGAAAGTGCTTGCCTAAAGGCATACAGTGGATAAAGGGTGGTGCCCCGAGGCCTCCCAAACATTAGTCATGCCTCCTGACCTAGCTGACAAGCTCTGGAGTTGGACCACATTCAAATTTAGGCTTGCAGTGTGGGCAAATCGCTTAACATCTCTGGTCTGTTTTATCTGAAAAATAGGGGTGGCTGATCATTTTACAATGTACACAAACATCAATCATTAAGTTGTACATCCAACACTAATATAATGCTGTATGTCATTTATACCGCAATTAAAAAGGAATGGATGACATCTTTTCTTCCACTGACGCATAACATGCGTAAAGCCTTGGCCAGAATGCTGACAGCAGAAGCCTCCCAACCTCACTCTGCTTCTTGCTCCTCTGACTCCAAGCTAGACCCTGAACTAGCACTGACCTGGAGGACGGTCCCTGATCGGGGATCGAGAATCCGAATCTTTCGATCTTTACAGGCGGTGGCCATCAGGCTGCCGTCGGTATTGAAGGACATGGACAGGATCACATTTTGGTGACAGGAAATTGTCTTGACCGGGCTTGTGATTACAGACTCCCTTGTATCCAGATTCCAGACCATCACCTGCAAGGCAGAGAGCCAGCCCTGAGCACAGCGGCCATGTTTCCCCCAGTCCCCTTAGTCACATGCTGGTCAGGCTGCAGCAAAACAGTGTATACCCAGGAGAGAATTTGCAGATGGCTGTCTGGCCTAGAGGTCTCGGGTGGGAGGGTGAATCTGCCAGCTGAAGCCTCCATGCTGGGGGGTGTGGGGGCGGCGGCGGGGAGGGTTGGTAATCAGGAGTCCTGCTGTCTGGCAGTAAAAAGAAAATACCATCTGTCTTGGAGCAACAAAACATCCATGCTGGAAAGACCCAGGGGACTTGCTAATCCGGGGGTTTCACAGATATTAGCAGTAGTTTCCTTCTGACACAGACACAGGCTGCCATGTTTAGTTGCATAGGCTGTGCACTGCACAGATCCTGAGCAATCCGTTTCCATAGCCTATGATGTGAATAGCGCCCCCTGGAGTTGTAGACACAATAGGGAGACTTGCACAACAGGCAGACACATAAACAGATGAGAGTACTTCTAATCAGAAAAGGGTGGGAGGTCCTCATAACTGCTGCCCTCTACCCTTCTATCCATCACAAAGGCCCTGAAGTGCCTCTGTAAAGTCCTGTAATGGTGAAGAGAATTTAAAAGTCTCACAATGGTCACACTCACCCCATTTATGTACAGATTAAAGGACTTTCCCAGGTCACATGGCAAGTCAGAGACTGAGTTGGGATAGAATCTAGGTCTTTTGGACCGTGAATTTTCCCAGTTCGCAGGGCCCATGGCCCCTACTTTGCTAGTCACTGGAGCAGGGTCTAGCCTGTCCCCTCCAGGCAGATTAAGGGGTTGAAAGTCTAACCCAAAATTCATGCTCAACCACTAAATCAGCAGCTCTCTGGCATCTTTGCCATCCTAATTACCTTATCTGGAAACAGACGCTCTTTACAGGCGTGATTAGCTACAGTGAGGACATCTGGATTTGGGTGGGCCTAAGCCCAAGAAACAGGGTCCTTCTAAGAAAAGGAGAGGACACATAGACGCACAGAAGAAAGACATGTGAGGGCAGAGGCAGATAGTAGATCACAGTGATGCAGCTGCAAGTTGAGGATGCCTGGGCCACCAGCAGCTAGAAAGGGCACAGAAGGATTCTTTTCTAGCATCTTTGAAGGAAGCATGGCCCCCCTGACACCTTCACTGTGGATTTCTGGTCTTTAGGACTGTGGGAGTGTAAGTTCCTGCTGTCCTGAGTCACCGTCTGGCCATCTGTTCGGGCAGCCCCAGAAAGCCAATCCACAGACCCACCTTGTAGTCGTAGCCGGCGCTGAAAAGGATGTTGGCGGCTGTGGGGTGCCACTCCACCAGGCCCACTCTGCGCATGTGGCACACCAGCTCCTTCTTGTAGGTTGTGAGGTTCTTCGCCAGAAACTGCCTGGGGATGTCCCATATCTTAATCTGTTAGAGGAGACATGGCGTGGGGGAGTGTTAGCCAGGGTCACTTCGGCACCCCCTCCCACCCTAAGCCACAGAACCGGCAGTGGCCAGCAGAAGTGCCAGGGAAGCTCTTTCTATATCCACCAGTTATTCAATAGAAAAACATCTGGGGATCTCAAAGGTACAGGGCCTTTGTCAAGGTTTTCTATTCCAATTTCTTCTCTGTGGCATCTGGGAAGGGGCAGTGGCGTTGACTCTGGAGATGAGCTCGGGGCCTCTAAATCTGCTCTCCGGCATCTTTGCCATCCTAATTACCTGAGGCTGGAGGCATACGGGGATTAAAGGGGAGACAGAGATCTGACTTCCAGGTTGAATGTCAGAGTAAATCTGCCTTTCAGTATAGAGTATCCTGCAAAGATGGTGGTCTACCCCCTCTCTGCCCCAAGGCCCAAGGCAGAGACAAGAACGGTTTGTACTGCTTCGGGGGGCACTAGAAAGCCAACACAATCTCTGGAGAAGGACCAACCAGGGATGGGCTCTTGTTTTTAGAGGGTCCCCTCAGATGGCCTGGAAGGAGAAAAACTGAAGTTCAAAAGGCCAGGCTGAGTGGGATCATAGGCCTGTACTCCACAGTGAGAGGCTAAGGGACTTCCTTCCAGAGCAGTGTTGTCCAAGGTAGAAGGGGCTTCCATAACGGAAAGTAAGTCCCCCATCATGGGCGTCTACAGATGCGGGGATGCAGAGTATGATGGAACCTGGAGGGTGCTGACTTGTCTTGTCTTACAGGGCTCCTAGGCCCTTACCTGAGTATTTATCCCCTTTCCCTCTGAGACATATAGGGCTTTCAGGTACATCTTGCTTTCAATTCGGCAAATACTTAATTTTTGGTCATCTTGGATTTAAAATCATGAGAATAGTGCCAGCTCTGGACGGGAGAGTCTGGTGAGGGTTGTGCCTGCCCAGAACGGACACCACCACTGAATCTCCTCAGAGCAGAGTCATGCCTGCCCCTCAGGTCCTGAGGCCAGGGAGGAGACAGGTGAGCACTTCACACAGGAGGGCCTAGGGTTAGGCACTGCCACCCCAACTAGTTGTGTCCATTTCCCTTGCCTGGGGAATCTGACAGTGGCAGGTGACTGAGGCTAGTTTGGAACTTAATAAAGACCTTGAAGAGAGTCTTCAAAGCAGGCCTGAAAGGAGAGGTATTCCAGGAGTGGGCACAGTGTCAGATATTTGATACCTTGTCAGAAGCTCTATGCTCAATGGAGACAAGGTCAATTCTCACAGGGTCTTACTGAACCTTTCATGAAGCCACCAAGGCAGACAATGTCCTTCATGCTTCTTAGCATGCCCTATTTGGATACACACACGTCTTCTTAAACACTTTTCTACCTGCTTCTCCTGATGAAGTGGCCTGTTTCCTTTGGGACAATGAAGAGTTCTGTAGTATAGTCTATTTCCCTTTTTGCCTTGGCTGCCAGGCAGCTCTGAGTAAAAGCTGTGACCCTCCATAGCCAGCATTTCTAATATTATTTCCTGACTTCTTCCATCTGTAACTACTGCTCTTTAGGAAACTGGCATAGCTCAGGGGAAGGAATTTGAAGCCTCACCTGGAAGCCTGGGTCTGCCTCCATAAACTGCTATACCTCTGAGATACTTGGTTTCTCCATCAGAAAAATATCACAACTTGTAGGGTTGTGAGGAAGACTGAGGGGCTCAGTGGTCTCATAAATAAATGTCAACTATGACTTTTATTCTTATTTTAATGACTAATCATATCTGTCTTTTCTTTTTTAAGATTTATTTATTTATTTATACAAGCACTGGGTACAGTCAGAAGCATGGGAGAGTGAGAGAATTCACCAGAGCCAGAGGGGAGAGCAGAACATGCAGACTGACGAAGTACACTGCTGAGGGGAGCAGCGGGTGGCAGGAGAGGTCTGCGCGCCATGTGGGACCCTTGCCCGGCAGCCGGGGATCGAACCGGCGCTGCAGAGGCTGCGGGCAGCTTCGCAGCCCAGCGCTCAACCACTGCGCCACCGGGGAGGCCCATTATATCTGTCTTTTGTTTTAGTCACATGCACCATGTGTTAGAATTGGGCACAGAATAAATTATAATAAAAGCACTGAACAATGTGGGGGCAGGTACCAGGTACAAATGCCTGGTACAGAACAGACATCAAAAGTTGGTGAAATAAAACTTTGGGAGGCAGTTAGTGTCCAGATCATATAAGGCACCCACACCTATCACCTTAAAGCTTATCTCCTCACTAAAATGGCACAATAAAAATGCCCTTCACAGCATTTTAGAGTTTTCCCCAAAAGGTGGACTTCCCCACTGGAATAGGAATCTCACTGGATCTTTATTAGTTGTTTGGGAGCAATTAATGTCCAATGTTTAGGTGGGAATTGAGGCCCACAGAGAAGAAAGGGGTTGTCCCATATCCCACAGATCCTAGAACTTTTCTTCAATCTAACTGACCCCCTTTGGGGCACACAGTGACCTCAGCTCAGAAAGGATGAGGGAGTCGGAGCACCAGAGTCAAGGACAAGCACTGATTTATCTTCTCCAGTCCTGATTCCATCCCCCCGGGAAAGGGAGCTGCCTGCTGCCTGGACACTCACCGTGCCATCTTCAGAACAGGAAGCGATCTCAAAATCGTCAAAAGGGTTCCACTTGATGTCTAAGATGTTTCCTCTGTGCCCGCAGACCTTTGGGTAGTGGGGGTCCAACTTTCCAGTCTGCAAAACAGAGTCCAGGAGGGCTGGGTTGGCAGTGGGCTAATTCCTCTTTAGCTTCTGGACAATCACTCTGTTAGCCAGGAATCACTGAGTAGACAGGAGGGTGTAAGGGACAGGTCCCTGCCACCACTTATTCTGCGTGAACCCCAGGGGAGTCACGTCACTTCTCTGAGTCTCAGTACCCCTTTGAAGGCAGTGATAGACGTTCGTGTTCAGTGACAGGGTTCATGTTCAGATCACAGGTGATGAGGTGTGGCAGGGCACACAGCAGGTGTTCAATAAAAGGACATTTCCCTTCAGACACTGCTGTTGAGAAGGTTGAAATGGTGCATCCACTTTGGAAAACAGCCTGGCAATTCCTCAAAAGGTTAAACATAGTTACCATGTGACCCAGCAAATCCACGTCTAACTAGATGCCCAAGATAAAGGGAAACAGAGATCTATCAACAACTTGTACACCCATGTTCACAGCAGCATTATTCATATGATCACAGAAGCCAAAAAAGCAGAAACAACCTAAATGCCCATCAGCAATGTGAATGGATACACAAAATGTAGTGTATTCATACAATGGAATATTACTTAGCCAAAAAAAGGAATAAGGTGCTGACGCAGGCTATGACATGGATGAACCTGTATGAAGACATGCTAAATGAAAGAAGTCAGACAGAAAAAGCCATACAAATTTACAATTCCACTTAGATGATGTGCCAGATGTGGTTTCATTGCTTTGAGCAAATCAACACATCCCCTGGTACCTGGTGCAGGGAACCCTGACTAATGCATAAGAAAAACCCAGAATAAGAAAATCCAGAGAGACTAGAAGCAGATTAGTGAGTGCCTAGGGCTGGAGAGAAGCAGCATGGGGAGTGAAAGCTAATGGGTATGGGGTTTCTTCTTGGGGTGATGAAATTATTTTGAAATTAGATTGTGGTGACATTAGATAGTTGCATAATGGTGTAAATACACTAAAACTCATTCAACTGCGTACTTGAATGGTGTTCAGTAGTGAATTTCATAGTATGTAAATTCTGTTTCAATTAAAAAAAAAGGGCATTTCTTCCCCTACCCACTTTCCTGTTGAGAATTCCTGCAGAGGTGCTGGGAGGACTTGTGGGCGCCACAGCCTATGCCAGGCAGCCCTGAAGCAGAGATGGCTGCACTGACACACTTAGACTTCCTGGGACCCAGAACCACCCCACCAGATCAGTCACAGGAACTGCTGCCAGGGACACACACACTCCAGCTCTTGCCTGCCAACACAGACTCTGTCTATATCCACCATCTGGCCTCAGGTTCTGGGGCCCATGAGCAGAATGCTCCCCTGACCATTTTTGTATCTAAGTGAAAGAGACAGCTTGGAAGAAAATTGGCCAAAGTCCATTCAGGGAACTGGACACCCCATCCTAGACTGGACACCTCATCCTAGACTGCATCCCATCCTGAAAATTCTCTAAGGACACGTTAGAACATGGGGGGTAGCTTTAAATGTCGACGTACTGTCAAACTTACAGAAGTCGATAATGTGCTCCGGTTATGGAAGAGGATATTCTTATTTTTAGGAAATACCCAAGTATTTCAGGGTAAAGGGTGAAGATGTAATGTACCCTCAAATGGCTCAGAAAAATATATATACACTCACATGCATTGAGAGACAGAAAGAAAAGAGGGAGAAGAACATGGATGTGTATCATTTGCTGGTGATGTGTAGGAGATGGACAAAAGCCCCAATACTTTCAGATGGTTCTGCCTCCTCATGGCTGAAAAAAATTGGACCCTGTCCTGGCAAGATGGGTCACTGGCTGCCCCCTGCAACAGGGGCAGCACTAGAGCCAAGGCCCTGGAGGGAACGCACCCAGCTATGACCCTGGCTCAGGTCTCCACACCAGCCACAGACCTCTCACCCAGCCCTTGGGTCACTCAGCACCTACAGTTGGGTGAGCTTTCAAAAATTAAAATCGGATGGTGGCATGCACCACTCATGTTTTGTAAGCCTTTTCCCACATCTGTAAAATGTGAATAATCTCTTTCTTCCAGGATTTTAAGGAAGGGAAAATGAGATCTTGTCAAACCATGATGTCCTGTAGTGAGTGCTCAAATAAGATATTCATCATCTCTTATTACTAAGAAGGCAAATCAAATCACAATAAGACATTACCTCATGCCTATGAAAATTCTACGTATATGTGTGCATGTGCATGCACACGTTTTTGGGTGTAGATCAAAACTGAGGGGGAAAAAAGAAAACAAGAAGGAAATGCACCAAAATGTTAGTCATGGTTACCTCTAGATGGGATAAATGGGTCATTTTTATTATCTTTCTCTTTTTTGTTTTTAATTTCCCACACTTCTTATAAAAATTGTGCAAATTTTACAATAAAATATTCAGTAACAAAATTCCCAGCTTTCTGAAAAGATGAGTCCTTCTGGAATTAGCCAAAAATCTGTTATAAACTGCAGAAACTGAAGGACCGGACCAGGGATGGACAAGTACATATAGCACTTTCTTATCCTGCACCAGTGGCAGGCATCACTAATATATCCCAGAACTCTCTCTCTGACCCCAGATTGGAGGAGGGACTTACCCAGGGTCACTGGGAATGTGAGGGGCACAGCTGAGCTGGAACACAGGCCCCTGACTCCCAAATGTGAGAACTGGAAGCACCAGTTCTCTCTGAATCACAATCCTGTCTTTCCTCCTACACACAGCTTCTACCCTCTTTTAGATCATTTCCTGGTCAAAGGGCCTGAGCAGTGCAGTGTCTTTTACTATGGGCCACACTATTGCTCTCAGAACCTTTGACTTTACACTCTGGCCCAGGGCCATGCCCCAATTTCTGCCCTGGGGTTTCTCGGAAATGTTAACTGGCTAGTTGGCCTTGGCTGACAGGAAGAAAACTGCCCAACAGCCCTATCAGACCCATGCCTTCTGCCTCCCAGGTTGGAGGATGCACAACTCAGGAAGGTGCTTCAGAGGCTCAGACAGGCATCTGTGCTTGCGCCAGTGCCCCTCCCCGGCCTCTAAGAGCAGAGGCCCCAGCCCCAGCCAGCTGCTCTTCCTTCTCTGTGAATAAGGCATAGCTGGTCCTCCCCAGAGGCCGACAGGCTTGCTCTTTGCCTAAAAGCGTTAGTGCTGAGGACCGACATTAGCCAGTCTGATTAGCTATTGACCGAGTTGTTAAGAGCCCTGTCATGGCAGGAACATTTATAATCAGGAGGCAATTCTGCCTTTCTGTCCATTAGGCCAACAGTCAGCCAAGGGCTGGCCTCTGATTTATGGGGTACGCATGCTCTAAATCAGGGAAATAACTGCTCTCCTCCGAGAGCTCAGGGAAGACTAGCTTGGGAGGAGGAGTTGGCTGCGGGGCCTGGAGAGACAGCGGCTCTAAGTCTCTGAGGAACTGCCTTGGGGCACATGGAATGGACAGGAATTAGGATCCTAGAGGGCAGTGGCAGGTGGGTGGGGGCACTTCTGGGGCAGACCTCAGCTGTTGGGATGGAGAGGCTATGAGGCCATTGTCATGACCTCTAGTGCTCATAAGGGCGTGCCATTCCCATAAGTGGCACAGTTGTGGTCGCGTGACCCTCCCAACGGTCCAGGGTGGACATGGAAGCAGGGGTGGTAGGGCCAGGCAGAGGGAGTTTGCACAGAGTCTACAGAGGTTGGGAGGCAGGCTGTCTCCGGCTCCTGAGTGTAAATCCCTGCTATAGCCCTTGCTACCGTTCACCCTGGGGCAGTGATCTCACCTCTCTCTGCCTCGCTTTCCTTATCTACAAAATGGCAGCAGCAGTAGGACCTCACAGGGTAGATATGAGGATTAAATGAGTTACTACACGTAAAGCGTTAAAGACAAGGGCTGGTACATAGTACGGTGTAAGCACCTCGCAGCTGATCACAATTATCCAGTTTATCCAGTTTTAATGTGCTCCACGCCCTGGGATGTCCTTGTTTTGAGGCCAAAGTGCTCTGCAGGGGACTCCCTTCTCTTCCTACACAAATGACAGGCAATGGGTCCCAGGGTGACCTCAGTGAATAAATCAATGCCTTGATGGTATTCCAGCTGATGAGCTCAGACACATCTTACATCTATAAGGAACAAGTTTGAAAATGTTTTTCTTTAGAATCATACTTTAGGGAGTCATTTATGTGCCTAGCCTTGTTCTGGCTGTTCTGTTCTCCAACCTCATGCACCCCCCAACCACTATAGGAAGGCTACATGTATCCCCTTAACAACGCAGAAGCTGGGGATGAGATGGGTGGACATCTGTGTGTATGGGCGACAGAGCCAGTCCATGGCAGAGCCAGAACTGGGGTTTCTCTTACTGCCTGGTCAGCCTCTTGCTGTCCTCTCACCAGAGTTATCATAAGCATCACACACAGCCTTCTGCTGAAGATCTGCTCTGTGCCAGGTGCCAGGTAGTGTGCACAGGGCAAGTTACTCAGGGTCCCTGACCTTCAGGGGTCATCTGTGTCCGTGGGAGTGGCAGGATGAAGTGAACTCAGGGCTCAGAGACAGAGCCTTGGGGGATTAATCAGAGAAGGCTTCTGGGAGGAGGAGGTCTTTGAATTACTCCTTACAGCAGAGACTTTGACGAGGTCAGAGCGGAGGGGAGGCATTTCAAGACAAAAAGCCAGGGCGTGGGTGGGTTTTAAGTGGGGAGGATCTTGAAACAGCCAGCAGGGAAATGAGACTGCAGGATGAGATGGGAGGAGGCCAGGCAAGAGAAGCGAGGCTTTGGGCGGGGAAACTCACTGGTGCAGCGTCCATGGCTAGAGACTGACATGTGGACAGATGTGTTACATGCTGACTAGAGGGGATGGGATGTGGGGCAGGGGTGGGAATGCTGCCCTGAGGAGTCTGGGAGTTGAGCAGAGGGATAGACGCTAGAATGTTCCCTAATCCTGGAAACACACATGCTGCTAAAATGCAAATCACATTCCCACAAGGATGAGGGCTGTGAGTCAGTCATCAGCCCGCCCCTTCCCACTACATAGCTGA